AAGAAAAGGACCAGCATGAAAGAGAAGTGAGTTTAGCAATAAATGGAGTAGGATCAATGTCAGCCAATTTTCCGGCTTCCAAAATTTTTGAAATCAGATGTTTTTGATAAGATTGTAAAATTTGTTGCATAGGCAGACGACGATTTTTGCACATAAAAAGGTGCATCAAGTCTTCCATGCGGTCGAACTGGTCAAAAACCAATATATCGGGTAGCAAATATGTATCAGATATGTACCCGATATGTGTAGTATTAATGCAGAAAATCAGGTACCTGATATGTGTAAGATATATGTAAATATATATATCATATACATAAGGTTGCTTGCCAAAACCTCTCCAAAATCCTGTGATAAATTTTGGCAAGATTTTACTATATGTTTACTATGGTTTCGGCAGGGTTTCGGCAGTTTCGGCAAATGGGGGTTTCGGCATTTTGGCAAAGTTTCGGCAGGATTTTTAATATGATTTAATATAGTTTCAGCATTTTCCATATAGGTTTCGGCAATTATTAAGAAGGTTTCGGCAAGCAACCTTACATATACATATCGGTACCCGATATGTATATGATATATAAATGATATGTAGACGATATATATATTTACACATATCTTACACATATCAGGTACCTGATTTTCTGCATTAATACTATACATATCGGGTACATATCTGATATATATCTGCTACCTGATATATTGGTTTTTGACTAGTGTGGACTGAATTAAATAACTGGTCTGGTCTGGTCCAGTTCTGGATTATCTTTTTAACATAATCCAGATTAGACCGAAATGAAGCAATTTTTTGGTCTAGTTCTGGGTTACTCTTTAATCCAAACCAATCTGGACCATTTAGAGTTTTAATCAGGAATCAATTGTAACAATTGTAATATGATCACATGAGCATGGTGGAAATGCTTATATCACCTTGCTGATCATTTGCCGATCACATAATTCTGGATTTTAATATTTATTACAAAAGCCACAAATATTTTAAAATAATGTGGCAAAAAAATAATGGAAATCTAAGCTAAGCATAAAATTATCATATAATTTTAATTATATAATTATTAGCATAATTTTTTTTAATATTTTTATAGCACATTATACATGTGATAATTCATAATTTTTTGCCGATCATCAGACAAAAATTGATGGGCGGAGATGAATATGCATGGACGAAACACAAAACTTTGCACAAATATTCCTTATATTATGTAGAATCTATAAAAAAAATAATGCAGTGATCCAATTCATAATGCAGATGTTTTATTATTAGAGATTTTAATGAATTAATTTGCAAAATGAATAAGTAGATGCCACGAAATAAACAAATAAATGCCACGAAATTTAATAAATAAATGCCACAAAATTTGATGAATTAATGCCACGAAATTAAATAAATGACATAAAATTAAATAAATAATACTATAAATATATGCTTTAATTATTTCTATTAGTAAATTTTAATAAAAAATATATAATTTTTATTTAAATTTAAATTTATTTCAAATTTTTGAAAAAACAAATAGAACTTTATTTACATTATTTATTAACCAGATTTTATTTACTATTTATTAAATATAATTTGAATTTTAAAAATGTCAAATAGTGATACACGAACTTGTGCATTTGATTCTAATGAATGTAATGGAAAAATTTATAAAGTAGGAGACAAAGTATCAATTCCAGAAACTAATATTGAACTAATTTCATATGGAATGTTTCTTTGTACATTTCATTATAATAAATTTATTCTTAATGAGAACCATAGATTGGATAAATTGTTGCAAGTTTGTTCTCATCCAAAGCATGAGGAATATAAAAGTCAATCAAAAAATTCAAATAAAAAACCAAAAAAATTTAGTCTTGAAAAGGTTCCAAAAAGACTAATTTCAATTTTACAATTAGATGAAAATGCTAAAATTTGCAGTTTATGTAGAAAGAAAACAGATAGTGATCCTGATTATACTACATTAGAAAAATATAATATACCAGTTTCTAAAAATAAGAATGATAATAATATATTAAAAATAGGAAATCATACTTATCCATTAAGAAACAATATTTTGTATAATTAAACAGAATTAAAACAATTAGAACAAGATTATTAAGAAATTATTACACAAATATCAATTTCACATGAAGTTAGCTTAAGTGAAAAAATTAAAATAATGTCAAATATTCTTTATAAAAATCAGCACCAGCTAAAGCAAAAGCCAATATATGATTATACAGTTTTTAAAATGATGTTAGAAACAACAGATGAACAGTTAATTAGATTTCTTAATGAATTATATGAAGGAACTAATCCTGCTAATAAATCAGAAAAAACTAATAATAGTAATAAGAAAAAATTGGTTTCTCTATGTTACTTTTTAGCTAGTATTAATAATAAATATATTAATGGAATTAAAGTTGATATTGGTTCATATTTACAAACTTCTGGAGCATCGGCTGCTTCTATTGATACACTTGCAAACATAGGATTATCAGTATTAAGAAAAACTGTAGATAGGCAAAAAAAAGTTATTTCAGATGAACATGAACAATCTGTTGATAATTATTGCTTACAAAATATAGAAAAAATGTTTGTTTTAAATATTGATGATTATCATAACATTCATCGTCGTACTACACTATCATTATTAGAAACACATAATATCTTTCATTTTGTTACAATTTTATTAAATTCTAATCCCAATATTTCAAAAATACCATATTATTCAAATAATATTTCATTACATAATCCTAAAGGAATTGACTTTAAATTAATTATTGAAAAATTTGAAAATCATTTTATGAATCAAATAGGTAAAAGTTATTATGAACAAAATGAATTATGGAAACAATTTTTGATTGAAGATTCTTATGAAAATAGAATTAAAAACCTTAATGTACATAATTATGATGGTCGTATTCAAAAACATCAAGAATTAAGATCATTAAATAATAGCAAATTAGTAGATTTTATTTTGCACCCATTACATAGTATTAAAGATTATATTGAATGTTCAAATGTTTTATTTAAAGTATTTGAAAGGTCAGAAAATACTGATTATTTAGACCATTATGTTATTCCTATAATTGCTGATTGGCCAGGATAAGTAAATTTAAGAAGAGCTATAACATTAAGAATTAATAAAGGACTTGCATCTGGAATTTCAGAACAAATATTAAGTTTAATTCCTATGATAGGACCACTTCATATTTCTTTAAATAGTAGAGAAACCTTATTTCAAACATATTATTTTTTTTTTTGAAATGTTGTATCATGATTTATTTGGAGATAAAAAAGTATTATCTCAGAAACCAAAACAAACTGTAATTAATCTTATCTTAGATTTAACATTTAATGGTTGGAAAAAAATTTGAAATGTTATTATACATCGTTTTGGAAATTCTAAGGATGCAGAATATAGAATGATGATTGATTTGTTAGATAATTCTATACCACTTACTTTAGATATATATGCAGTACTTTTTAGAAGTGGATATTTTGAAGGATATTTAAAAGGTGTTGTAAGAATTTGGGTATTATTTCAAAGATTAAGGAGGCGCAATTACAATAAAGCACCACTTGTATTTTTGAGTGATGTGTTTTATTGGGAACTTAATAATCATCCAATGTCTGATACTTTAAAAAATAATTTACCAATTTTTAATGATTATTTTGTTGAAAACTTCCATAGTTCTATTAGAAATCAGACTGTTGAATCAAATAATGCATTGCAAATTATTCAAAAAGCAAAAATTATTGATGCTGAAAGATATAATAATTCTTTTAAAGAATCTTTTATTAATTCAAGAAATCTAACTATTTCTCAAGATAAATTAAATTATTTAGAAAAAAAAGTTTCTTTATTTTTATTTTCTCTCTTTGATAAAATTTATCATAATATTGGAAATACAATTCAAATTGATAATATTAAATATCCAAGTTTTATACTTCCAAGTTTTAAAATTAATGTAGATATAAAAGTTCTTTCATTAGCATAGAATACAGAATATAAACCTGCTGATAATAAATTTTGTGATGCAGAAAAATGTTTATTATTTAATAATATAGATTCATCTGATAGTATTGTTTTAATTTGTGGGCATGGTTTCCATAAAGAATGTTTAGCTTTATATAATGGGAAATGTAGTCATTGTTTTAACTATTTATCATTTGGAATTCAAAAAAATATTAACACCTTAACAGCAAGATTAACTACTGCACTAAAAGATAATGAAATACCTTTAGTTGAAGAGGAAATGAATGATAGTTTAGATGAAAACAATGATGAAGATATGCAAAATATTTTAGAAAGATTAGAACAAAATATAGATAATCAATTTGAAATTTTATATCAAAAATGGTCAGATTATGATAGTTTATAATTTAAAAGTCAAATTTTATGTATTTTTATTAATATTTAAGAAGTTTCTACTAGTAAAAGTTGCCCAATAATAATGCAATACTAATAAAATTTAATACATAATATAATAAGAGAATTACTAAACTTAACCTGGGGGAATTTTCCTCCCCTTTCCCTTTATTTCAATTTTTAATTAAAATATTGACTTGTATAGTAATTTAAGAATAAGATTATATGTAAATTTATGAAAAGAAAAGGTTTTATTAAGTTAAAAAGGGTAGTTGTTCAGATGGTTTTTGAGAAAATTACATAATTTTGATTTTATAGTTAAATTGTATTTTTCATGATAAAAATTTTTTTAAAACCAAAAATTGCCAAATTTTTATGCGATTAATATCCACTTATATTTGTTTTATATATTTCATAAAAAAAGTTTATTTTTTTTAAATTTTTAAGGGGGGGAGGAATTATCCCCCCGGTTAAGATTAGCAATACTCATATAATAAAACTAATATTAAGTTGTTTGTAAAATTTAAACATATATTATTATGTAGGATTGTTTAATTAATTTAATAAAACACTAATTTTATTAAAATTTAAAAAGTTACTACTAGTAAAAGTTGCTCAATAATAATGCAATCCTAATGAAATTTAATACACAATAAATACAAATTAATGAGCATATATTATTATGTAGAATATCTCAATTGAAGCTATTTAACTTAATTGTAGCGAAGTGATAAAATTGAATAAATGATCGTCAAATGATCGTCAAATGATCGTCAAAATTGTGATAAAATAGGGATGTCTGCCATGCTGATCACATGTTAGTGCATTAAAGTAGGATCAATATATATTTATGTATGTACATGTGACGTTCCTAATGGATTTGTAGAAGTTTTCATCTAAATCAGAATCAGTTTAAAATTATTGCAAAATGATTTTTAATTAAAATAAAAAATGTTTTGCAATGTTTTTTATTAAAATTATTAAAAAAATGTTGTGAAACATCTTTTACTTCATTTAAACCCTTTTGTGCAATAGCAATATTTTTTTAACTAAATTATTTAATGCATTTTTAAAATTTAAAAAGTTCACATATTTTCAGATTTTCTGCAAAAAAAAAAGTAGCTCATTAGATATAATTATATTAAAAAAAAATTTGCAAAAATGTGGAATATTTTGTATTGATAATAGATTAATATATAATTTATCATGGGAGTTTACTTAATAGTTTTATTTAATATACTAAACTATACATGTTTCTCAAATTATTTTGGAATGCCGTAATTATAAGTAAAATCCCAAATTCAAATTACAGCATCCCAAATTATTTTAGCACTTTACATAGTAAATTACATATAAACTAAATGAATTATAGCATCCCAAAATAATTTGGATAGCATGTATAATATAAACTTCATATATTTATTATGACTTTCTATTTTATTATCTGAAATGTCTTTAATTATATATCTTTAATTATATATTTAAGTTGAATTTAATGCAAATATAAATAGTATTATTTAATTACTTTTTCTTTTACTTTTATTGTTTTTATTAATATTATTACCATCTAATATATACTTTCTCCGCTAATTAATTACGTCATATTTCGGCGAACGGACTAATTCACTATTTATTATAAAATTACTATGAATTAATTATGTCTGCCAAAATACATTACGTCTGTCAAAATAAATTTAATTAGTATTTTGTCATTTTAACGAAAAGTATAATCTAATACAAGTATTTTTTCATATTCTTTTATTTTCATTATATTTTTTTAAAAATTTTCGCAGTTTTTTAAGTATTTATAATAACTAGACTTTACTTTATTAGTAACATAATACTCTTTTATTGTTATTGCAATATTTCATATGTATTCTTTAATACAGCAAAGATACATAATATATTTATTACTTTTATTGTTTGAATTATTTATTACTAATTCAAAATATGGATAAAAGAAGTATTGTGATTTGCCTATTTTTATTATTTAGAAAAACGTATAAAATAATAGTGTGAAAAAAATATAAAAATGTTTTAATTTTGTATTTATCATATCTAGATTAAATTAAAAATTTATGTATAGAGATCATTACTATTTTTTAATGATAAATGACCAAATAACAAATGATTGATATTATTTGTTATGATTATAAATCATTTGGCATTTGTCATTTCACAAATGATTCAAACGACAAATGCTAAATGATTTATAATTATAATAATGGATTAAACAAATTCTTTGAATAGTTAAATAACCAAATCATTTTTGAATACTATATTAAACTGTATATATATTTTATTTTATTTTTTTTTTATTTTATAATTTAATGGTTTATATATGCTTACATTAAAATTAGCTTTACAAAAATGAAACTATTTTCTAAATTAGCTATACCCACCTGTATGGATGCAACCATCAAATTTCTTCAAATATCCATATTACCATTGTATTAACATTAAAAGTAAACAAAAACAAAAGCCAAATCCTTTTATAATTCCTATAAAATCCTCATACAGAGGAGGCACGAAATGGAGTGAAAGCTCACAGCGGTAGGAGATACCCTTCCCAATGTTACGGTATCTCACAAAATCCAAGCAGATACACCAGGTCCAGCCAATGACATTGTAATCAATCTAATATTAGTACTTTTGATGGATTAACTGCTGATCAACTTGATTAGTAAAAATTAAAAACTAAAATCCACCAATCCCATTAGCCCTCCTAAATAGACCGATCTACATAAATCCAAAAAAGTTAAGTAACACCAAACCTCCAGCTCAGATAATCAATATTCCAGTATTCCCAGTTCCTCTAAAAGAAAACTAAAAGTGAAAATGCTGAAATTCCAGGAAAATGAAAAAACTAAAAAACAAAAAGGAAAGTCATAACCTCAGAAAACCCCTAAGGAAAAACTGAGTAAAAAGGGTAATAAACACCAAGTCTCTGTCTACCACTTCAAACCCTTCAAACAATAACTAATAATAAGAAAAAACTCACTTCCCAAGTAATCACCTCTACTTCAACTAATACTCCATAGGAAAAATTTTTACAACACTTCTAAAAGTAAAGAAACTAACGGGAAAACTTCACACTAGTGCAGAGTTCAAAGTCCAGCCGCCCAATGCGTAACTGTTACAACTTTCAAGAACCCGGTGGGAGAAAAGCTTCGCAGAAGTAAAATTACTTTTGGTGAAAAACCACTCCATAGTTTTGTAACTTTACCAAAACTTTGAGTTAAAGGCCTATTTGAGTTTTGAAAGAATGACCAAGAAGTTTAAAACAAATAATAAAAGCACTCTATAATCACTCAAGTGAGAAAACCCAAGTTTTTTCTTCAGCAACTTCCGCTAGAAAAATGGGCAAGTGATCGGTGAGTGAGAAATGTAGTCGATCCTCTGTATATAATTTTATTTAAATAGAATATAGTAGTAAATTTATTATCAAATGGTAAAAAAATTATTAATTTATATGTGAAAATTCCTTTTTTTCATAAAAAATATTCAGGTTTTTTAATTAACTATTTTCAATAATAAATGAAATATAAAAGTATTAATAGCTTAAAAGTATAATTTACTTTTTTACTATTAATATCAGCTGTAAAAATCCTAATAATATAAAAGTATTTTTAAAATATAAAATTAAAGATATAATTAAAAAAAAAACAGCAATTAATTAATAGTTTATATATACAGTATAATACTATTATTTAAATAGAACTATTAATTTTTCAAATGAAATAAATAAAAAAATGCAAATAAAAAAAGTTATAAAAGGATCAAATATTGATTTTTTAACTAAAATAAAGTAAGCTAATATATTAATAATAAAATATAACCTAAAAATTTTTTAGTATTTTTTTTTTTTTGGAAGAATACTCAAACTTTTGAAAAAAATAAATATTCTAAAATACCTGAATTTTCCAATTTCTTAAAATTTTTAATTTTATATACTTGTTTTTTTGAATAATTAATCCTTACCTTATAAATTATAACTAGTTGATTGTACTTTAATAACTACTATAAAAATTTACTTTAACAATTATTCCATTTATAAAGAGTGATATATAAAGGTATTTTACAACTTGCAAATACAATCTACTGTTTAAGAAACAGGCTGGCAAAATCTATCTAAATATTGAAGCATTTTAAAATTAATACTACAAAGAGTTATTCCAACTAGATAGATTTAAAAGCAATTATATAAGCATAAATATAGTTTGTAGTAATAGAAGAATAATATTAAGAATATCTGGACTTTTAAATAAAAGAAGAGCATAAATAGTGTAAACTCAGATTATTGAATATAATAAAATTACAAGTATTATAAGAAATGTAAAATCTTATAATAGTAAATTTTATTAAAAAGATATATTATATTACATAGTAATAAGTATAGTAAACTAGAATTATGTTCTATATTTTTTATAATAGAGAACTGGAGGTTATACTTAATTATATAACTGATACCATAATTTTTAATAAGTTAATCAGTTTATTATATAAAACTAAATTGATTTTTGAAATTATCTATGAAGAAGTAATGACTTTTCATAAGATCAATTAAAGAAATATCTCCCTAGTAGTAAAAACTCAAAAAAACATCATACCATCACACAAATGAAACTTCAAATTTTTCCTACTTATATCAATTTCTTATTTGAAGTATTAAATAAATATAATATATATATATATATATATATATACATATATATATGTTAATCAAATATATTATCTATAAACTTTTTTCATCCTTCCTTTCTTGTCTTTCTTTTCTTTTTTCTTCTAATATACTAGTTTTACCTCTCTGATATTTAATTTGAGCAATTCTAGCTTTTCTCAATAAATGTAATATTTCGTTTAATATTAACACCTAAAATTATAACATAAATTAATTTCATTAAAATAATACTTAATATGTATATTTATGTATTAAAATACTTACTATACCAATTACAGAATTACATAATAATGGAAAAGAAAATAGTATAGAGATAAAAGCTCCTCCTTCATCAAAATAATTTTCCTTAGAGAACTTTTGCCAGTTATTTTGTGCCAAAGTATTGATTGGTTTAGCAAATCCAGTTAATATCACTAGAATCAAAAAAATAATTTTAGAGTTGGTTATCGAAATAAAGTAAAAATTTTGGACTTACTTGAACTGAATGTTACTACTGCTAAAGAATTCGTATTATTTCTCAATTTAATTATTATAAATAATGTTGTAATGTGAAAAGATAATAACATCCATAACCAAGGTTGTGACCAATCAATCTTTTTCACGGTTTGGTTAAGTTCATAGAACGAATTCAATTAGGTTCAGTAAAGGAAATAGTTTCAAAATGAAATAATCATAAAAATTACCGCATCAATAAATGCTTGAATGCTTTCTACAAAACCAAAATCATAAGTCTGAAAAAGAAATTCTCCAGTTGTTTCTGTACTAAAAAAATTATTTCGTCATTCGTCATTGTAGCGTATATATCTAATCCAAATTATTAAATATTTTTAATAATACCTATCACTATACCTATCAGGTTCGTAATCCATTTTTTTTTGTTCAGTTACCCGCAATTTGACATATATTTAATTAAAAACTAGTCAACTGGTTAAAAAATTTATAAAATTAATAGCGTGAATCAAAAAATAAAACGTGCACAAACTTAACGTAAACAGCCGATTTATCGTGTGATTTTGATTAAAAAATGTCTAATAAAGAAAAAGTGGTTAAACAACGTATATCTCCAACATATTCTGATACTTCACCTTCAAAAATATCAATTTCCTCCTCTGTAACGCCATGCTCAACGCACCAGAACAAGGACAAAAAAATGCAAATTACACCACAATTACCTAAAGATTCTTCAATTCTTCAAACAACCACCGGAACTATTAGAACTCAAAATGATCCAATATCATTAAAAAATTCACTAGAAGCAGCTTTAGGAATAAACAAAGAAAAATATTGGTTATCTATACAATCTTTTATAAAAGGTGAAATAAAGAAGGTTGAATTGGATTTTTATGTTCATTCTTTATTACCGAAAGAACAGGGTAAGTTATTAATACTAAAGGTAGGCTTTCTTTTACACTTATTGAATAATTTTGAATAAAGGTGTATATTAATATTGAATTTGTGTTTTTATTAGTTCATTTACATGATGAATTTATTCGTGCAAGTATCAATACTCGTAAAAAAAATCAAAATAACGTTAAAAATGCATCATCATCACAGAAGAAAAAATCTCTGAAGGAGATTATGTCTTCAATGGGAAAAGAAGAGAGAGATAAATTACATGTTATTTTAAAGGTGCATAATTAATATAATTGTGTCTTTGATGTTTTTCAGGATAGTATTAACTTTAAAAGTGTTTTAAATTAGGGTGCACAAAATAATCAATTTCATACGAATCCAAATTTGATGTTATTCGAGAAAAAATTTCCAAAAAATAACATTAAAGATGACTTGACAACAATATCTCCATCCTTAAACACTTATTTTTCAGTAAATGAGAGAGAAGATGAACTTTCAGAGTTTGATTCTATTTATACAAAAATGACGGAAGTTGCTCTGGATAATGGATTAATTGGTGGCGTATCTGAAGATTGTGCAAATTTGATGATTTATGCATTAGAAGTAATTTATTCTTTACAGAGATATTTCCTTCTTCCTTTCAAATTCATTCTTACTAAAATTCGTTTTGTTAAAAATTTTTTTTTAGGCGCATTTAAAGAACATTTTACATAGTTGCGTAAATAAGATCAGATCAAATGATTTTGATAAGAAAAAGAAAATTAGTAATTCACCAATATCGTTAAGTGATCTTGCATTTTCATTGGAATGTACTCCTTATATTCTAGTAGAAAATAATTTTATATTGGAAAGAATACTAAACAAAATTAATAAGAAATTATGATCTATCACAATATATTTTAATAAAGTTTATTATTAATTGCTAAATAATGATTTGTTGATAATCAAATACTTAAATCCGCAGTCCGACATTTTTGATACGTTATTTATCACATGACATTGATCCCGTTTAAGTATATAATATTTTAACACTATTATTTACCGACATTTTTATTACAATGCAACCTACTCTTAGTTTGTTAAGTCGTTCGGTTTGGAAAGGTAGCCATCATTTTTTTTTAAAAAAAAATTAAATTATATAATTATACTATAATTAACTTTTCTTTCAAAATAGGTCCTTTTTTTGTAAAATTTCCTGGTAATAATCGGATATAATTTTTTTTAGTCCTTATTATTTTTACCTATTTTACGTGATAAAAAATGTTATTTAAATCTTTCAGGGTTACGTCAGGCTCAGGCAAATAACGTTCCGATAAAAACCCAAGCAAGATCATGTACAATCTTACCAGCATTTGTTGGATTAAAGTTTTTGGTACATAATGGTAAAGATTACATACCTGTTACAATTACGGAAGAGATGGTTGGTCATAAATTAGGAGAATTTTCCCCTACTAGAAAGAAATTTACTTTTAGAAAGACTAAAAATAAATAAATAAATATAAAACTATCCGTGACTTTCAAAGAGGAAAATATTGTTTCACACATTGTTTTTTACAAAAAAATAAAAAAATTCAATTCATCTGTAATTAATTCATTACAGCTAACGTTAAAACATTTATTCATCATATTTAATATAACCTTGACGATGTCTTGTAGTAAAATGTTTTTTACCTTTATCATTTCTATAGGAAGATTGAATAAATTCATAAAAATATTTATAATACCATAATAGATCATCATATTTCCCGTTGTAACTATTTTCATTATCAGTAATAGATTCATAAGTTACGTAATATTCTTTTAAAAAGTAATATAAAGCTTCTATAGTAGCTAAATAATTTTCACTCTTATTTTGATATCTCCAAAAAAGTGTTTTTTGTGGGTTTATAGTAACTTTTCTTATATTTTTTAATTCTTCTGTAAATTTTGTTAAACTTGACGCTTGTTGCCATGTACCATCTACTACTAATAATTTATCGAACGAATCTCTCGGTATTTCGTTTAAAGTTTTTGAATCCTACAATTAAAATATATGTGTATAGATGTATATAATGTATTTAAAATTGTTTAAAGAAACAAATTAAATTTAACTTACCGGACCAGGAAAGAGTAATAATAATCTATCTGGATTTTCATATTTTGGAATTTCTAAACTAGAATATATCGAAACATCATTTGGAGCTATAATCTTCGCATGCGCTACTGTTGATTTACCTTCCAATTCTTTGATATGTTTAATTCTAAAACATATGCAATATATATTGTGTATATATATAATATATATATATCGGAAAAAAAAAATGTATTTTAATAAAACCAATTCTTAAAAGAAAACAAAAAAATTTTACATAAAATTTTAAATGAAATCCCACACATCAATTTTAATAGGTAATTCAAGATAAGGAACATCACTTCTTTGACATCCGACAACTTGATAACACCAATAACAAAAATATTTCATTGAACGAGTACATTTAGGACAAAAACTTCTTGTATTCAACGTATCAAGTATTGCTGTTGAAGATATTTTGAAACTGTCAAACGGGGAATGTTGAAGTTTGGAATCTTCCTCCGGTGATGTTCGTTTTGAGTTTTGTTGGTGCTTATCGAGTGATAATGTACCGAAAAGTAAATCCATAGGCTCTTCGCCTAGTTTGATAACTTTAGGAAAAAGGGTGTTAATTATAATTTTACATTGTTATATGAAGATAAGTTTGATTAATAAAGTAAACCTTCTTGTCGTTCTAATTCGCTTGTCATAATGAAATTTTGATTTTAGTTTACGATAAACATGATCAAAGATTTATAAGTTGTGCAACATTAATCAGACATTTAAAAATTCGCACAATTTAGTCGTCATTTAAATTAAACCATTAGAATTTCAAGCTTTTTTCAGAATTCCCAAAAGTATTAATGTCAACTACTGCCTCACCACAAAAGAAACGAAGGTTATCAAATCCTTCGATAGAAGGTTAATAATATGCTTGAGAATTATGTTTTTTATTTAAAAATTTTCTTTAGAACTAACAATCTATATATAGATCGCAAAGTTGTTATAAATGAACCAACAAAAAAAGTATGAACTTTTATTATCTCTATATTATTATTATTTGTTATGTTTATTTAATGTTTGTTTATGTTCAGACCAAACAGGACAACTTAAATAACGGAGGAGTTTCAATTAGCAACAACGCAGTTACTACCAATACAGAAACAACAGAGACACCTTCAGTTTTATCAAATTTACCAACCAGTAGTAACACTCGTGCTAATGTTAACACTTCAGTTAATAACTCACCAAAACCTGTAGGGCAGAATAATAATAGCAATATGTCAGTTAGTACTTCAGGGATTAACAATAATAATAAAGAAAAAGAAAAAGAATCAATATCTGCTTCTACAACAAGTCCAACATCCCCTGTTAAAGGAAAAGGCAGTATGAACCAACAAATACATCAGAGAACTTCTTCGACTTCTTCAACACATACACAACAACTTAATGTGCCCTTATCTCAATTACCTCCACATGAATTGTTAATTCGCTGTACAAAGAAAGAAGAAGAAATTCAAACTTTGCTGGTAAATCTTATAAAAATTTCGGTAGTTTTATTTATTTATTTTTTTAATTAAAATATAAATACTAATTTTAAAATTGTTTATGTAGGGAGAACTTCAAACTCTTTCTCAAACTCTTACTCCTGAATTTTCATATGATCTATCACTCCGTAAAAAATTTCTTGATCCTGCTACTAATATTTTATTTCGAACCATGAAAAAAGAATTGGAAGATAAGGATAAATTTATTGAAAGTTTACAAAGAGAATTAGAGGGTGTTGGCTTTACTCCAAATAGGTATGTATATTAATTAATTTATATTAATCGTATGAAAAATCACTTTTTACAAATTAATATATTATTATGAATTATAGTATTACGGGTAAAAAACTCGTTGCAAAATTACTTGCATTACAAAATGAAAATGAGGAGCTAGGAAGACAGCTTCGACAAGGTCGTGTCGAACAATATGAAATAGAAATAGCTTTACAAAGAAAAGTTATTGACGAACTTAAACAAGGACTTGAGGGTATTTTATCAGATAGATTATAAATTATGATTAATGACCTTTAGTTTGACTTACAAAACAAATTTTGATGTATGTAGAATCGGATAATCAACTTATATCCTTAGATGCAGAAATGGAAAGATTACAAAATCTTTTATTTCAAATGAGAGCAAAAGTTAAAAGCTATGAAGAAAAATATGGTCCTTTAGAACCCGATAATAAAGATGATGCAGCGGAAACTTCAACTATTAAAGAGGTAAGTGAAGTAAATTAATTGATAAGAAAATCTTAACTTTGCAAAAGTATTTTATTTTATTTTTTTTTTTTTAAAAAAAAAAAGAGAAGGAAAAAAAAAATTGAGGATTACAAGATCAATACAATTAATATGTATTAGAAATACTATTTAATTCATTTGATTTTTTAGAAAAAATTAGAAACGTAAATGTTTCTATATCCAGATCGGTGAATTTCGAGTGAATTAAACGATTTATTTATACAATGCCTGTCATAAGATAATCTGCTACTATAAATAAAATTATAATCATCATGTGATCATCCGAACTCTATACTGTAGTATATTTTTTTGCAAAAAATTTTTTATGCAGTTTCAATACAATTGATGTTTTTTCAAATACCGTTGATTTGCTACTATTTTTAAACGGCATACACTTTATCGTTTTTAAAAAAAAATATTCTTATCTGCCTAGTTTCGCTTTAAAAATGTCTACTTCATGTAATGGTGAAATTGATGAAGAAAAAAATAATGACGAAGCTGCTTTTAAAACCGCCACAGCATCGGTTCTTCTCCGTTCAACTCCAGTACCAGAAAATTCTGTAACAGTAAAAGGACCCGATTTTAACCAACAATTAACTTTACATGAATTACTGGAAAATTATTCTCGAATTGGGTTTCAAGCTTTTAGTGTCGGGAAGGCTATTGAACTTATAAATAAAATGGTAATTTAATAATTTTAATTTTTTTGGTTATTTGCTATTATTTTAAACTCTTTATTTCACATTATTATAGCGTAGATGGAGATTATCAGATGAACCAATATTACCGGATGAGACAGAAGAATATAAAGATCCATTAATAAGATCTACAACAAAATGTAAAATTTTTTTAGGATATACGTCAAATCTAGTTTCATCTGGATTACGAGAAATAATTAGATTTTTAGTACAACATTCATTGGTTGATGTTATAGTAACAACAGCTGGTGGTATAGAAGAAGATTTCATTAAATGTTTAGGTCCAACTTATTTAGCAGATTTTGAATTAAATGGATCAGAATTAAGAAAAAACGGTATGAATAGGATTGGTAATTTAATTGTACCCAATGATAATTATTGTAAATTCGAAGATTGGGTTATACCTATATTAGATAAATTATTAGAAGAACAAATAAGTAAGGTTAGTTAAAAAATGATGATTTTATCAAATATACAATTAATTTAATTTTTATGTATGTTAAGGGAATAATATGGTCACCATCAAAAGTCATTAATAGATTAGGTAAAGAGATAAATAATCCTGAATCAATATATTATTGGGCATACAAGGTATTAAGTATTTATTTTACAATTTTTATAGAGCCAAACTAATCATTATTTTATTAATACAAAGAATAATATTCCAGTATATTGTCCAGCTCTTACAGATGGTTCATTGGGTGATATGATTTATTTTCATACTTTTAAGAATCCGGGATTAGTTATTGATATAGTATCCGATATAAAATCGATAAATCAACAAGCTGTATTTGCAAAGAAAACTGGAGTAATTATTTTAGGCGGAGGCATAGTTAAACATCATATATGTAATGCTAATCTTATGGTAATTATTTTGATTCTAATAATTGATTTATTTATGATGATCATTCATTAAATCTTTTTTTTTTCTAATAGAGAAATGGAGCTGATTATGCAGTTTATATAAATACTGGTCAAGAATTTGATGGAAGTGATTCAGGCGCTAGACCCGATGAAGCTGTTAGTTGGGGCAAAATTAGAATGAATGCTGAACATATTAAAGTATATGCTGATGCTACAATTGTATTTCCACTTATTGTTGCCGAAACTTTTGCTAAAGATATTCATAAATAAAAAAGAAATAATAAACCTTTTTTTTAATAAATTGTACTACCGGCATTTATATAAGCTTTCATTTTCGTCTTTTTAGACCGATGGGGAATATTAAAAAAAATATATACAGTATATTTAAATACTACCGAATCTACGGAATTATCCTTTTGTTAAAAACCATTAAATAGAATTGTGTGAATTATTTTATAAATTATGAGAGTTTATAGATTTATAATTTATATAGTTCAATACCATGATAAAAATTTAGCAACAAAAGACCAACCGTAGATCAGCCGCATTAAAAATCACGTGATATTTTTGAACAATCATGGGTTTTGATCTTACAGGGGGGGTGTACGATCTTAACGTGACCGAGTTTAGGAACATGAAAAGATCATCAAACCAAGGCATATGTACATGACTGTACTCAGGTATGTGACTGAGTAAGGTATTACCCGCATCTTTCTCTGGAAATGAATGAGATAGAAAAGCAGGAGAAAGAATTTTACAGTAAATTGCAGGTTGCTGGAAGTATTAAATTTGTCGTTGGCGAAGAAAGTGACGAGTTTATTGGTCTGACGAAGCCGAAGCTGACGAAGAATGAGAAATTTTCTCGTGATTTAGCAACAATACTGGCAAGGAAAAAAGAAGCGGTGGCAGTAAATTTGACAACTTACCCAGATTACTGTATAATTTATATTTCTAAAAACAGTAATTGGCTTCAAGTAGATTTTAAATATATCAATAAAATCCAGGAATGCCTGATAAAAATATCAAAATATGAACCCATGAAATGGGAAGAAGCAATTAAAAAGTCTGATACAAAGACTTTATCTGCCAGCGTAATTGCGTACTGTTCTGAGAAGTTCGAATCCAGACTTGATAAACTTAAAAGAGACATTAGAGATGGTAAAAATGATCAATATATTAAATCTTTTATAGAATATGCTTCAAATTCAGTTGACATTAATCATGATAAAGCGAATAAACTCATCATATCAAGGGTTTGTTGCTGTTATTATAAAAAAGTTTCTAAAGATGTTACAATTCCGAAAAAATTTCTAAAGCATCTCAAAAAGGTAGGATCATATATGAGGTCTTTGATCGATATCACGAGTTGCGCATGTAATAAAAAATACAAAGTCCTGTTTTCCAATATGAAACTGCATATATTGAAGCCCATTGTTACTCATCAACCCATATTTTCATGGAAAAACATCATCCAAAGGTTTATTCCTGATCCCATGGAGTATGAAAATTTCAAGAATGCATGTTTGGGTAATAAAATCAAAGCGAGCAGATTAGAAAAAATATATGATGATGTAAAAAATCTGGAACTTGAAAGCATTAAACAAGGCATATATTTACACGCCGAAATGAACATATTGAACGAAATAATGAATCAGAAAAAGAAAGCTAGGGTGTATATAGCAGTATCCAAGAAATGTTGTTACTTGTGTGAATTGTATATCAAATTTGCACAAAAACAAGGATATAATATCGTCATCTCTGGAACGCACAAAAAGATATATAATCTATGGAAACTTCCAACAGATGTTGCCTTCAAAAGTAATTTCCTGTCATATGTACTAAAAGAACTAGATAAAATCATACAAGAAGAAATAGATAGTAGCTCCAGTTTATTGGCGGAATCTGGTAGCGATGAAAGTAGCGCTGATAAAATTAAGGTTGATGATGAAGAACATAATGCTAATCTTGACGCTGAACTTAAAGGTGTTTACATATAAGAGTAGAAATCAAAGTGAACTCTCTTTTTTTATAATTTAATGATACCAATTAAATTAATTAATTATAGTAGCGAGTTCAAAGGGGGGATACAATAGAAAAATTTAACGCGGGAAAAACCGTGACATTTTGTGTCGAAATTTTTTATTATTGATGTAGCACATAAAAATAAATGTTGTAGATCTGTTGGCAAACCTATCCACATGACGAAGTCCACAGTTACTATTGTGATACCATTTTGATAAGCCTCCCAACAGAGGGAATCACTCTAGCACTTTGTTAATAGCGAATTTTTGCTTCCCTTCTGGATCATCAAGTAAAATAGAGATCAGTCTGGATTTGTTAGATTTTACTTACCTGAGATGTCACCTTTTCATCTAATATTGCTTTCGAGTCAGATGATTAAGTAGATACACTTTCACATGGCCTTCGTTTCGTCTAGAATTGCAGTTAAATAATAAGTTAATGACTGATAATAGATAACCATACTACCTTATAGCTGGAATAATTTAAAGAGAAGTTTATATTTAAATTGTAATATTTTTTATTAAGTATACGATAGTGGAACAAAGAAACTGAAAAGTTTTATGAATTTGATATACTATTACAGTAATTTAAAGATACTTCAGTTGTTTAAAATATCCTTGTCAATTACAGTATATATTCATAATAGAAAATACTAAAAGACTTCCTTCAAATGTAAATATACTTTACAATGTTAAAGAATGTGACATTCAAGATGATTGAAATATAATTACTGAATAAGATTTTATACAATTTTCGTCAATATTTAAACTATAAATATAAATTTCATGTTATTAGATTCATAAATTAAATGGTATATATAAACTATATTGAAATTCAATTACCAGATTTCTAGTAATTTGTGATTTTTTATTTTATATATTTTATATAAAAATTAAGTGTATAAAAAAATCTGAGTTGTATATATATTTTAGGAGTTCTGTAAAAATATACTGAAGTTATTAATTTAATTTGTTACTTACTTAAGGAGCAGTTCTGGAAACCATTGTTGAGCTAGAATTTATTAAATTGGTAATTGTACCATCATTTCTTTTACTCTTTGCAGAATAATTTCATTATTACATTCAATAGAAGAAATGACATAAGGTGGTGATATATGTGCTCTATCTAAAATATGTACAACAGGGTCATCATTTGTGTAGGTTATTTGAATTCGATTCTAAATGAAATTAATTGTCAAATTGGCAGGTGGTTTGATAATTAAATGCTGTGTATGTTAATTTTCTTTTACAGTAATTAATATTAATTTTGATAATTACCGATTCAAATAATAAAATCAAATCTTTTTTTCTTTGTTGCATTTTTTCTGATTCATTTTTAAAATCTTCAATTCTTTGATTAACTACGTTGTCTAATATATGTCTTGATATTCCATTCTCCTCATTATTCACTACAAAATAACATTTGAGATTTTAATATTTTATTCAAATACAATTTTTTTTAATATTATACCTTTAAACTCTGATATAGCATAATTCATGACAACCAAAATTTTATATCGAGATGGTAATTCATTTTTATTAAAATCATTTTCAATCTAATATTTAAAAAAAGAAATTATTTTAAAAAGTTTTCAATTAAAGAAGCACTTAAAGATACTTACTTGTAATAAAAATATTGTTAAAGTCACAGGATCTATATTATATAAATATCCTTTCAGATCTTTTTCATTATTTTTCAGTTTAATTGTGCATAATTTCCCCAAAGATTCTTCAATTTGTCCAAGTGTCAAATTATATGTCGACATATTTGTATGACCAAAGTGAAAAAAGTTTTGTTGTGCTTTGTACGAATAAAGTTAGTACCCTTAAAATTTTTGACCCCGAAATAGTTTTTGTGACGTATCAGTCGATTTTCGCAAAAAGTATTTTCTTTGATCTTGGTACGATTTAAAATAGATCTTTTATTTTGATGCCCTAGTCGTTCTCTTATTTTATCACACGAGTTTTATGCTTTATACTTTTCAAAAATTGCAAAATTCCATTTTCATAACTACTTAATATACAGATCTTTCACGATTACTGGCAGCTATTCGTCTAATGCAAGCTCAGGGCACAATTTCCTTGACTCAGCAGGTATGCCGTTATTATTTTTAGTGTCAAAAGCGCATAAAATCTGATATTGTACAATTTTGTCGTTATATTAAACAAGCTTTCTGCGCTACTCTCCGAGGCTTCATTGTTTCTACACTCAGTTAAAGTTACACCTTCTTCAGTCTCCGCTTCGTCAAAGAATAAAACTACCGATTCTACGTCAATCCTTACTCGTTCAAAATTGCAGGTATTTCAAGGATTTTCTCTTAATTTTTATGACTACTGGATTAATTATTATAATTTAAATTAGGTGAGCGATCTCCCTGAATGCCTACGACATAAGGATGTCCAACCGATAACGACGGCAGTGCTAGCAGATGCTATTACAATCTTGAAAACGGATTCTTCTTTTCAATCAATTGATATACAAACTTTATTGTCACAATTTTCAGGTTATTTTATTACTATTATATATATATTTAATTTTTGATATTATTCATTTGACTTTTTTCAATATAACTTTTTAACAGGAAGATTGACAGGTTTATCACCACTGTCTGCTTCTAGGTTATTAAGAGCTGGGGGAGTTTTTGGAATATCATCTTCCCGGTCATTTTTTAGAAGAGGTAAGTATGAAATTTAAAGACATAAATTTTCAATTCGAAATAAAATAATTAAATATAATCAATAAGAAATCTTATTGATTTTTTTATGGTTATTATTTATTTACAGATTCTGCTATTCAATATTTGGGAAGTAGTCATAGGTATTTTGGGACGAATTCTGCTGTTAGATATATAAATCAACGACGTTTGCAGCTATTAGAAGCTGAAGCAAATGCGTCACCTAATGATGCATCAAAACAGGCAGAATTTTATAAAGTAGGTGATTATCTAAATATAATATAGGGAATTCAAATTTTATTTTACAATTATTTTATCTGATATTCTTTTATTATTATTTTAGGAATTATTGAAATCAAATAACCACAATATAGTAATTGCTCGGTTTGAGCGTGGGAAATTCGCTCACGATGATGAATGTTTTCAGGCTTATGTTACTGCATTAGTTAGAGCAGGCCAAACTGATAAAATTTTACCGAAAATTATGCAAAAACTGGAGCAGGCTGGAACCGAAGGAGGTAATGCACATATAAATAAGAACTTGTGATTACCACATATTGATTGAATTATTAATAATTAGGTAACCCGATTTTAACAACAGACTTAGTGCAAGGCATTATGAAAAGTCAGGGGAAAAAAGCTACAGTGGAAAATAGTCCAGCAGCTATAGCAGCAAACGCGGGTAATAAAGAAAACCCGATTTATGTCGTAATTGAAGAAGGTAATGATCGGGATTTTTTAAACAATATGTATTTTATTAATTATTAAATTCATTTTTTTGCTTGTTTAGCGCGTGGATATATGTTTTGGCGCGCTTTGCGTTGGGTGGGAATTACATTTACATATGCTTTCTGCATCCTTACCTTCCTAAGTATTGCTATGGAAAATTCTGGTCTTTTAAAGACCGGTGGATCACAATCAGAATATGAGCCATCGTCTCAACAGGTGGTTAAATTTTCTGATGTTCATGGTGTTGATGAAGCAAAAGAGGAATTGGAAGAATTAGTTGAATTCTTGAGGGATCCATCGAAATTTACTGGTTTAGGTGGTAGATTACCTAAAGGTGTATTATTAACTGGTCCTCCAGGTACTGGAAAAACTTTGTTGGCACGTGCAGTTGCCGGTGAAGCAGGTGTACCATTCTTTTTTATGTCAGGTTCAGAATTTGATGAAATGTACGTTGGAGTTGGTGCAAGAAGAGTTCGTGAACTTTTTGGTAAATTATTTGTCTTATTATGTGTACATAGATGTTTAATTTTGATTTGATTATATTTAGCGAATTTATTATCTTCTTAAATTATTATTACAGCTGCTGCAAGACGTAAGGCGCCTAGTATAGTATTTATTGATGAATTAGATGCGATTGGTTCAAAACGTAACCCAAAAGACCAAACATATATGAAACAGACACTCAATCAATTGTTAGTCGATTTGGATGGGTTTGTAGGTTTTTTCATTATCCCGAAGTTTTTTATTACACTATTTATATGTTTATTCATGATAATTTTCCTACTTTATTATAGGTTTTCGCAAACTGAGGGAGTCATTTTTATTGCAGCAACAAATTTTCCGGAACTTTTAGATAAAGCATTAGTTCGTCCCGGTCGATTTGATAGACATGTTGCAGTACCTCTGCCAGATGTTCGGGGTAGAGTGCAAATTTTGTCTCATCATTTAAAAAACGTTCAATTAGCACGTGGTAAGTTTTGTTTATTTTTTTGGAAAAATTATATTATTACAACTCATAATTTTTTAATTATTTCAATTAGATGTGAACATTAGTATAATTGCACGTGGTACACCAGGATTCTCGGGTGCTGATTTGGCTAACCTAGTCAATCAAGCGGCAATACAGGCTTCGAGAGATGGTGCACGTGAAGTAGCGATGAGACATATGGAACACGCTAAAGATAAAATAATTATGGGAGCTGAACGTAGATCTGCCGTAATTACAGACGATAGCAAACGTTTAACTGCATACCACGAAGGTGGACATGCACTTGTAGCACTATATACACCAGGAGCCTTACCATTACATAAGGCTACAATTATGCCACGAGGTAATAGCTTGGGTATGGTAAGTAATAATACAAGAGTTAATTTTTGTATATTCTTTTAAAATTTTTTTTTTTTTTTCGATGATATATTTAATTATATTTTTTAATAGACTGTTCAGTTACCCGAGATGGATAAAGATAACTATACTAAGAAAGAATATCTTGCTATGATCGATGTTGCTATGGGTGGTAGAGTTGCAGAAGAGATGATATTTGGTAAAGAAAATGTGACTACTGGTGCACATAATGATATAATGACGGCAACGAATGTTGCTAAACGTATGGTCACATTGTTTGGAATGAGTGATAAAGTAATTATAATATTCTTTATAAGCAATTCAGATTTTAACTATATAGTAATAAATATTGTAAATATTTTAGGTTGGACCAGTGGCTCATCCAGAAGAAGAGTTAGATCAATTAAGTACACAAACTAAATTAGTTATTGAAACTGAAATTAGAACAATAACGGAGGTAAGTAATCTTTACGTTAAAAAATATGTATTCAGTCGGATATTTAATACGGCATTTTTTTTTAGAATGCTCAAATACGTGCAAGTAATATATTAAAAAATCATAAAGAAGAATTACATAGATTAGCAAAAGCACTGATGGATTATGAAACTCTCACACAAGAAGAAATCGAATCAGTTATTAAAGGAAAAAATATTCAACGGTGAAAAGACATCATTATTATATTCTTTTCTTGAACAATTTTTTTTTTCTTTTTTTTTTTTTAAAAAAAAAAAAAAGAAAACACGAACCAAATAATAATTTTAATTACGGTAGCAACAAAAAAAAAAAAAGAATAATGAAAGTTATCAAAATTTTTTTTTTTTTTAAAAAAAAAATCAGTTTGTTTTTTTCATTACAACTAAATTAATTATTAGAATACAAATTATTGTTGAAATAATAATATAAATTTTATCTAGTACACTATCCAAATACAGGCTTCTTTAGAATATTTTCTAATATTTATTGTTATAAATTTTTAAAATTCAACATAAAGTCCATGATTAAAATTTTCCTCCTTTTCTTTTAAAAAGAAAAGAATAAAAGTTCATCTATTTATTAAACATTATTTTTAAATAATTTAATAATTTAAATCAAAATAAAATTAAATGAAATTATTGATATTAATGTAAAACCGATAGTAGATAATAAAGGAATTATTGAAATTGAAACAGCGCTATTAATAGTACAGGTTGGACAGTTACCTATAAAAAAAACATTTTTAAGTAAGTTAATACATATTTCTTAAAAACTATCATCTCCATTTTTGATATATATATATATTATAACTTACCATTATTATCTTGTGGTTTATATAAACCAAATTCCAAACCCGAAAAAACTTGAAGACCGCCAGGAAAAGCAGGAGCAACAAGTCCCCTTTCGTCACAAATCCATAATTTATATTTAGCCATAGGTAAAGATGTTGCATTATCAGCCGTAACCCAAGTTACTTCTTGTCCCGTTTCATTAAGGGTTTGATTTAGTGCTATCGGATAAAAAGTTTTTGCATCTACTTGTGGTTGTGCATAAGCTGATATTGTTTTTGGTGGATCATCAAACTTTGCAGAATAAGTCCACTTAAATGTAATATTTGATCCTATTTTAAATAGTATATTCTTTGATGACATTTTTGGAGAAACCATATTGACTTGAACTGATGGTGTTAATGGATTAACACTTTTTTTTGGTATTGCTGTATCATTTGTTCCCGTTGTTGTTCCATCTGCAGGAAGTTTTCCTCCCGCCGCAGGAAGTTTTCCTCCTGCCGCTGGTGCTCCTCCCGCTGGAGGATTTCCCCCTGCTGGAGCTTTTCCTCCTGCGTCTGGTGCTCCTCCTGCTGGAGCTTTTCCTCCTGCATCTGGTGCTCCTCCCGCTGGAGCTTTTCCTCCTGCGTCTGGTGCTCCTCCCGCTGGAGCTTTTCCTCCTGCATCTGGTGCTCCTGCTGGTGGATTTCCTCCTTTGCCTCCTGCTGCTGGTGGATTATCCGCTGGTGGATTTCCTCCCGCTGGTGGATTATCTGCTGGTGGATTTCCTCCCGCTGGTGGTGCGTCACCAGGTGCTTGTGGATCTTATATTCAATAATTGATTAATATAATGAATTATAATTGTTTTAGCATAAAAATTTTTTGATAAGTTATGTAAATAAATACCTCTTCTATTTAATTCTGCAGAAACAAAGGATAATAAAAATAAAAGTAAGATGGCGACGAAAAATATCGTCGCTTTTTTTAGTGAACGCATTATTTTAAGTTTAATATTATATATATAATTTAATTGTAGTTTTATGCTAGAAGAAAAAAATGAAAGTTTTTAGTAAGTAATATTTCTTTAAAAGAAAGAGAGAAGATATTGTACAATACCTTTTTGACAAAAAAAAAATAAATAAATAAATATTAAATTAAAAAAAATGTAAAATTTTTTTTAAAAAAAGAAAAAAAGGGATTTCTTGTTATTAATATAGTACAACTTTTTTAGTACTGCACAATTAAATTACGAAGTTTTATTTTTATATAAATATAAATTCCATACAAGGAAGTCGTATAAATAAAGCTGCAATCGAGAGGCAAATTTTTTTAACATACGACACAACATGGCACATCAAATATTAGATATTTTTAGGTATTTAACAGTGTTTGCTTTGAGTATTCTAATATTGGCAATTCGATTTTACTTGATTACATAATATTTTAACTAACTAAATTTTAATGATTTCCCCCCGTTTTTTTTCAAAAATATCAATAAATATATTATGAATTTCAATTATTGTTTGATTTTCATGTTTAATTATAGCTTAAAATATATTTATTTATTTATCTTTTTTTTTTTTTTCTTGGATTTTATTATAAAGGGATAAGATTATAGATTTTATTTTTATAGAAATTCACTAACCAAAAAAAAAAATAAACGATAGATCAGAGGCTGTGTGAATTTTGGGGCTTGTTTTGATTACCGAGAATTTAAAATAAATTAGAACGCCTCGTTTCTGCTCCTTAAATGGTATTAAAGGTAATAAAGATTTATCAGCCGTTTTATATAACACGTGATTCTTAAGGGTAAGTGATCAACAAAATGTTAAAGGAGAAAAAAAAAGGGCCTAACAAGAAATGCTCAGCAAGAGTCTAAAAAAAAAAAATGATCACACTTAGAAACTCGAGATTTTTTCTTTATGATTTATTAAAAAGTATAAATATTTATCTGCAACTATATTACATGCATGTTAGCGTTTGATATAAAACCCTTGCGACTTCTATGTCGCACCTCTATTTATAGTATTCATAAATGATCTGCACAAATCTGATTATTGGTTACTTAAAAAAAAAAAAACTCTTTACAGTATCAAAATATGCTCACAACTAAAAATTGTGAACCTTTAATTAATTAGTTTATTTAAAGGAAAAAAATATTTATAAAAAAAATTCAAATCCAAAAATTTCCAATGCTTAAATTATTTATTTCATCTATTTCATAATCGAAATTTTAATCATTATTTTAAATAAAATAATTTATTTTATAATACTAAAAATTGTGAATTTAAGAACAGTTTCAAAAAAAATTGAATATATATAAACACAACCTACTTATCTAAGGTTCTTTTCTACGAGTATTAATTCCATTTAACAACCCAATCGATTCATGATCTTGATCACTGTCTGGCTTATCCATCAAATCGTGATTTATAAAGGTTTTTGCTGATTCTGGCATTTCTTCATTTTCACTTTCATCTGTATTATTATCGACAGAATTTTGTCCACGTTTTAATTTGTTTTTGCCTACGGTAGATTTAGAACCATTGGCAACATAATCATTATTTTTAGTTGTTTTCGTAACGGGTGTAACTGCTGATGTCGTAATGGCCGTTTGTCTATTGCGGCGTTTTGAGAGGAATGAATAATATGATCTGGGACGTATTTGACGCGGTGGACGGCGTACAACTTTGATTTTATTATGTACTATACAAAAAAAAAAGAAAATCATAATTAAAAAGTTATTATGAATATATTTAATTTATTTAAACAATCGATTAAAATTACCATCAACGTAAACATCAGTTTCGTCAATGATTTCTTCTCCAATTAATTCTTCAATAACATCCTCGAGTGTCAAAATACCAATTGCACCTCCTTCACCGCCTGGATCATCCGAGACTAGTACCATATGACCTATAATCGAAAGAACAATTATTTTTAAAATATCAAAAAAAAAAAAAAATTATAAAAAAACTTTTCCTTTGAATAACTTACTTCTTCCTTCTTGGAAAAATTTTAAAATATCTAAACAACTAGTTAAGGGGTGAGTTTCAGGTAACGAACTCAACGAAAAATCTTTAACCATCCAAGCATCTTCAGGATCATAAGTAATTAAATTTTTCACCAAAAGCATGCCTATAAAATTAGTTGGATTAGGTGGTTCATATACAGGAATTCGAGAATAACCTCTTGAGAGGATCTATAAATAAAGAATACAATTATACCAAAATCTTACAAAAGTAATATTAAAATATAAAAAAAAAATAAATATATATATATATATTTTTCCTACCTCATCGACTAATTCTTGATTCAAAACTTCATCGGCTCTTAATGTATAGACATCTTCAAGTGGTGTCATTATTACTGATACATATTTTTCACGAAGATCTAATACCGCACCAATAATTTGGACTTCATCTTCATTTAAACTTTCAATCCCCCCATTTTTATGCAAAGATACAAAAGTTTTTAATTCTTTATAATTAAATATATAATATTATTAGTATCAAAAAATATATATAAATAGATTTTTTTTAGGAATAGAAAATCAAGTTTGTACCTGATTTCCTGTACATGGTACCATGTTGTGCGCCAAGACAAAAATCTAAAATCAAAGCAATAGGATATGCTATTGGAAAAAGAACATACATCAAAAGTCTAACGAACCTAAATTTTTGATTAAAATTAAAACATTAATATTTTAATTGATATATAGATATTTCAAATATATTTACCATGAAAATTCAGCTCCGATTGCTAATCCATAACGCACACATACAGCTATTACATGAAAATAGAAAATAAAAAATTCAGATATTTCGTATATAAATGTATATATGAAATTTTTTAAACATATATAGTACCTTGTGGAATAATTCTTTAAAAAAAAAAAAAAAGTTAATTAAATTGAGAATTAATAGATTATATATAAATATTTATATTATAAATATACGAGTTATACATACTCTCCAAAAATAACGATCAATGCAGTAGATAATAATACAGCAGGCCATCCACCACCAAACACAGAATCAAAGATGATCGGTAAAGTCTCATTTACGATCACATTTGAAAGTAATAAAGTGACCAATACCCAATGTTTTCCTTTTTGCAAAAGATGCATTACTTTTTTAGCGTGTCTCCTTTCATCATATTCACCTGCTACCATCAATACTTGTAAATTAGTCTCATCTAAGCCCATAAGTCCAATTGTAAGACCTTTGAAGATCAAAAAAAAAAAGTTTAACTCATGTTTAAACAAATATTTAATAATTAAGTTAAAGAATGAAATCATTGTATATAATAACGTACCAGCAAAGATTCCACCTAACATCACCAAAACTACAATCACACCTAATTTCCATCCAAATTCTTCATCTGTTAAAGGAATTTGATCATATTTATTATGCGGTATTGAAACATCTGTCGGAAGACCGTGTAGTGAATGTAGAATGGAAGCAAATATTGTGATAGTGTGAAAGAATCTATATGATAATTTTGACATCAAGGAAAGAAACGTATATATAAAAAGTAAAGGCGACTTTTATTTTCGGGTTTCAAAAGGAAAATTCAGTTTCTTAATAAAAAAAAAAAAACAATAACTTTTTATATTTTACACTTAAAATGACATTGGAACTATACAACTTCAGAAACTGCCAAAAGGGAACTTTATATACAAAAATTTAGAAATAATGCTCATAACGAGAAAAAAGTATAAGATGAATTGAAAATTCAACTTGCGCCTAGTATATAAATATGTAGTACCAAAATGTCACCATTGGATCGACAGCAAACATTTTGTAATACGATTAGCTTTTTTGGAAATTCAAAAAAGTGATGTATGAAGGAAGTAAGTGTTGAAAACATGAGTATTATTGTTAGATTGAAAGATAAAACGTTGACAACTTGGGACAGAAAAATATTTTTAAAATCTATTTATTTATTAAAATCTATTTATTTATATTATAAAAGTTATCTTTCAAACAGAATTTTTTTTTATATGCTATCGATGTTGAATCAAGAACAATCAATTGTACAACTCAATAAAATTATATTAGCGTATTAGCGCCATGTGTTGCCTAACTTTATCTGAACTTGATACGACGATTATTCCTAACCAACTGGAGTTTTATTCCTTTCCGACCGAAATATGGACATATTTATGCTCACGTGGTTATCGTGGTTATTTTAGAATGGTAGTATTATAAATAAGTACATATACTGTATATTGAAAAATGACATTGTTTAAAAGAAATAAATGATCTATTTCAAATTTTTTAATATATTATGATATTTTATAGGTTTATTAGTTATTTAAAAGTGCTATATGTATTAGTAATAAAAAAACTTGAGTAAATCAAATATGTATAAAATTTACTTTACCAATTATATTAATTTTTGAAATAGATCAAAAGTAATTATTATTTATTTTATTGTGGAAATAATAACAAAATTATTATGACCTTGAAAGTTCTTTTATTGAGCCAACTTTCTTTAATAGACGGACCATGTGTAATTATTTTTTTTTTGGCTGCCGATCAATTATAACTTCTGTTTGGAATCCTATTTTATCTTGATAGGAGAGGGTCTAAAAATTTTTTACTTACAGCAATTAATTTTCGTAAAAAAAAACTTTCTTGCTACTTTAATATCGCATAATCGTAAAATTATTAAATTATTTTGCAAAAAAAAAACTTTTAAAAATGATTTTAAATTTCTCATTTCACGTGTATCAAAAAAAAAAAAATTTAGTTTTAAAATGATGACATTAGCTATTTTTTGATTGGCTAGTTCTAGTTTATCCCGCAGTCGGCTCAACTTCAGTGGACGCAGTGAGAAATGATAAGGTCCGTATAATAACTAGTATATACTTGATACTTTAGTGCTTAGTTATGGCTAACGAACATCGACAACCCACTAATTCAAATTCGCCCGGGTTGCAAGGAGTACCACACATGGAACATTCAATTAATCTACCCCTAAACGACGTGCGACAGTCTTCACAAAAAACGGATGTAAATGGTAGTCAGACATATAAAACATCTGAAAAAGATTGGGAATCAATAAATCGTGGTTCTTCGGGAAGTGGAGTTATTGCTTCAAATTCAAGTGGGAACAACGTACATAGTTTTGGTAACGAAGCTTTTGTTACTGGTCATCAACAAAGAATCATGAATTCTAATATAAAAACTGATTTGGGTGTGCTGACTGGTTTCTCAAATCTTGGACAATTTTCCCCAGTAAAAATGCCACCTGGGTTTAATAATTTAAATAACGGTGTATCAGGGAATCCTGGTGGTGGTGATTATAATAACAACAATAGAACTCCTTTTAATCACGCCTCAGATAATGCTCCTATTCCAGTAGGTTCAGGGTTTGGTCGTAGTAATAGTATTTCAGTAATACCTCAAAGTGTCCATGGTGGTGAAGATTATCAAAATTTATATAATACCTATGGTAGTTCATTTCTTGCAACTTCACCTTCTCCACGAGCTAATAAAAATAATTCTGGTTTTGGAGGTATGGGAAAGGTTTCAATTAAGTTCATTTGATTAATGAAAAAACATTATTATGATTAGATCAATTAATTTTAATCAAATCAAAACGAATCATTTTTTTATACAGGAAATTATGATAATTCTTATTTTGAGTCTGCTTTTATTAAAAATTCGTATACATTATCCGAAAAAGATGATCATGATTGGGAGAAAGCGATGCGGACTCCCGGACTTGAAGATTCGCCAAAGGTTCGTTAAAATGCGACAAAAAAAGGAAAAAAGAAAAAAAAAAATATTAGTTCATCATAAATGATTTTGAAGAATATTTAATATCTATTTAAATACTTTACGGGAATAAATTTTTTTTTTTTATAGATATGAAATAACATTTAATTTCGTTTGTTTTTATCAAAGGAATCCATTGTTTATAAGCCTTTGCGATCTGCAACATTGCCATCACAAAGCGAACTCAATAACAGTGTTTACACTCCTAATGCTACGGCTTCACCTTGGATACCGTCAATCTCTCAAAGTTTAGCTAATTTTTCATCTGTACATGCATTGAACAATAACTTCTCATCTCAAATGCAGCAAAATAATGATCAATATACAGGTTATAATGGTGGGTTGTTCGGGACAAACATTAAAAGATCATCTAGTGTAAATAATGTTCAAGGCAATGGCCTTATTCAAGATGACAATAGTCATGCAAAATTTGAGCACGGATTGGGAGGTCCTTTAGATTATTATGAACCAACTACATCTTCGAATGTTGTAACACCATCTTCTCCAACTAGTTATTATCCACAACCACAAATTTTTAGGTCATTCGGTAACGCTTTACAACAACAACAACAACAACAACAACAGCAGCAGCAACAACAACAATCTCAATCTCAATCACAACAGCAACAACAATCTCAACAATCGCATCAACAACAACAACTTCACATACAAATGCAGCAAAAATTGCAACAACAACAGCAACTTATTCAACAACTTAAACAAAAGCAAAAACAAACGCAATCAGATAATTCTTCACCATTTCGTCTTCCGTCTTGGAGTACATCTGTAGCTTCAGAGGGTTCTCAACGTCGACGTTTAGATGGAAATAGGGATTCCGATGATGGTATTAGTGGAAGCATGGCATTATATGATTCTAGTAATGATGATATCATACCATCACAACGTGATACAGGGAAATATAAAGAGAATAAGGACTTTGGGTTAAAATTAGACATTCGTGGTCTTCAAACACCAATTTTATCTGCCCCTCCTGGGTTAGAAGGTTATCGTAGTCCAACGTCACCGAGATCTGGAAGTATAATTACTTCTCCACCGCTTAATGCTGATAGAAATATTGAACATTATGGTCTTATTTCTCCAACCTTAGCAAGCGTTAATGCGAATCAAAATATTTTATTAAGAGAGGATATGTCAGGAAATGCTATGAGCAATCATTCAATTGCTGATTTAACAACTTCATTGAACAATATTAGTATAGGTAATGCGAATGGTAATGACGTAGGTAAAGTGACATCACCGGATCTTTCTGCGGTTCAAGTATCAGGATCTTCAGTCCCCAAGCAAAAATCCCAATTAAGTTGGGCCGCTATTGCCAAAACTGCCCCTAAACCACCTCCCGTAAATACTTCACCAGAAGTACTTGGTACAGCAGTTGGAGCTTGTAGTGCTGCAATTTCACCATCATCTGCAGTATCACCAACTTCAACTTATGCGTCTAGGCCGATGTCTGCACCTACTGGTGCGTGGCCTGGTAAAGCAAAGATTGTTGGAACACCTTCAGGTAATGGTATGAGCAACCTTTTTGTTACACCGAACGCAGGCCTTCCAACTCCAAATGGTTTAGGTCCTCTCCCTATTCCGACCACACCAGGGGTAAAGAAAGATATGTCATCATGGGTCTCGGCTAGGGGATATAACCCCAAGATATTTAACTGTAAACCAAATCATGTAAGATCATCTTTATTTTCAAGACATTTTTTCTTTTTTTTCCAATATATTAATTAATTATTTAAAATATTATTAAATTAGGCAAGATATTTTGTTATTAAGTCATATACTGAAGATGATGTCCACAAATCTTTAAAGGTTTGAAATTATTAATACTAAGTTATAGTGATATTATCGCAAATGATTATTGTTGCAACGGACTACAAAATTTGTTATTTAATAATAGTATGATATTTGGGCAAGCACTGAAATTGGAAATCGACGCTTAGATAAAGCCTTTCGTGAAAGTGCTGATAAAGGACCGATTTATTTATTCTTCAGTGTCAATGCTAGGTAAGCACATACTAATTTATGAATCATAATTATTGATGGTATGAAATGAATTAACGATACCGTAATCATTATTATTGACAATATACAGTGGTCATTTTTGTGGTATGGCACAAATGCTTACTCCTGTTGATTACACCACCAGCAGTAGTGTTTGGGCTCAAGACAAATGGAAAGGTGTTTTTAAAGTCAAATGGATTTTTGTAAAAGATATTCCTAATGGTCAATTAAGACACATAAGAGTAGTGTAAGTATTATTTCTATTACTACCATTTATTTATTTATTTCTTTCTTTCTTTCTTCTTACATTAATTCGTTATTATATTATTATTGCTTATAGAAACAACGAGAATAAACCAGTTACTAATAGTCGTGATACTCAGGAATTATATCCGGAACCTGGCCGTGAGATGTTGAAGATATTTTACGAATATCGCAGTAAAACGTCAATATTGGATGATTTTGAGTTTTATGATAAGCGACAAGTTGAAATGAGGAAAGACGGGATTGCACCATTAGTTGGACCAACAAGTCCAGGTGTGGTAACTACAAACCCTTATGCTAATTTGCCACCGCCAATAACTGAAAGCAGTCCAAATAACACGAACATTAATTTGAACGGTGGAAGTGGGAATGATAGCGCTGGTAGTCAAAATGAAGAATCAGAATAATTAATGAAAAAAAAAAAGAATATCCAAGAACAGTTATTATTTGAAGGACTATTATTTGTTATAAACATTTTCTCTGAATTACCTTATCATTTTTCACAAAAATCATGGACGATGTATTAACTTTCGTCTCTAATATGCATTGTATCAAAAAAAAAAAAGACTTTATTATATAGTAAACCAAAAAAACACTTTTTCTTATATATATATATTTATTTTTATAGCAAATACCAAAGTTGTTCTGCAACAAAATACTCTTTTAATTTTTTGGATAGAGTAGAGAATATAATTGGGTAACAATTTTTTTTGTGGGATTATGGAGCTCTCTTTTATCGAAGTTGCTGAACAAAACCTACAAATCTATTTTTTGAATTCAAGATTATGCTTTTTTTTATTCTTCATATATATAAAATATAAAACTACATGCTCGCTTTTAATGTGGGTCATTTGAATATTTGATGGGACTCTTTGTATTCAAATTTTCTACTTATAGTTGTAGGAGGGTACATTTTTTCTTTTACTTCACACACATCTTATACATTATATAATACATATTTGTTTATCTATATGTTTTTTTTTATTTTATTTTATCTTATTTTATTTTATTATTATTAACATCATGTCATATATAAATATATATACTTTTTCGTTTCTTTTTTTGCTTTTGTTTATGAGAGCCGCAGGTTCGGTATTTGCGAAAGCTTTTGTAATTAATTATTTTCTTTTTAACTTGATTATATTTATATGTTTATGGAAAAAATATATATATATATATATTTGTATTTTTTTTTTAGTATAAAATATGTTTTGGGATGCATTTTCTTATATCAGTAAATGTTTGAATTAGAAAAAAAGGATTTTTTTATTTTATTTTATTTTATTTTTTTTTTTTTTTTATTTATTTATTTCGCAAAATGTATTAATTGTAATAGATCATTATTAAAATAAATTATTAAATCATTTTTTTAAAAAAATTTTTTGTATTGTACATCTATCTGTACATCTTTTACAAAAACACCACTTTATCTCCGGAAGATCGGATGATCGCCAGGTAAAATCGAACCACAGTTTGACACTCTATCCGAACTTTACCGATAATCAAGTGTAATCAGGGTGATCATCAGTGCTTTTTTTTAGATATGCTAAAGTAATGATCCGAAATATGGAATAATTGGGTGAAAAAAACAAATTTTTATTAAGTAATGTGAACTAAAAATTTTCCTTTCTTATTCTTCATAGATAAAGATTTGTGTCACTCTTTAATTCTCACGCCAATCCTCGTTTTTTCCGAAATTTCAAATCGATTCTGTGTAACTAAGATTTTAACTCCAAAAAAAAAAAAATTTCTTACTAAGTGATAACGGAATTGAGCGTCCATCTCATTTCCAAAAAAAACAAAATTACCTCAACTTTGTTTATTTTTTTTTTCGCGTATACTTTTTTACGTTTACGTGTGAAAATTTTAAAACGGAGATTTGACTTTTATAGAATAAGCTTATCTTTTAAAATAAAATAATTAGGTCCAAAAAGTCAGAATTTTTTTAAAAAAAAGGACCCTGGTTTTTTATCCTCAAGGTATAAATAATTTCATTTTATTTGTTTCTCATTTACTCAAAAATACAAGTACGAATAATCAACTATAAGATGGATACGCGACCTAGTTTTGATAATGTTGAAGTTGAAACTCATTTACCTCTTTCATCTTCTTCAACTGATAAAAAACCTTGGTATAGAACAGCTTCAGCGTATTGGTTATTACCAATGTTTATAATCATAGCGATAACTGGTGGATTAACAGTAGCAACAGGAGTACAACTTTACCTAAAAGCAGTTTGTCATAATTATTATTCTAAAAAACATATCCCCGGAGTTTCTTTTTCGCTTGAACCAATAAGTCCTGATAATTTATGTAATAATCCTGATGTACAATCCGTAACTTCTAAATTTCTTGCGGCTACAAATCTATGCACCGCTATTCCAGGTAAATAAAATGATCCTCGATCTAAATTGTACTTTCTTCTTTCAAATGAATGATTAATTAATTGGTTCATTTAATCATTTAGCTATATTTGTTCTTGGGCCACTTGGAACATTATCAGATAGGAAAGGACGAAAAAGGACTTTATTAATATCAAGCGGAGGGACAATCCTAAGCACATTAGTTTTAATATTTGTTTCTAACTTTTTAGAAACATTTGGAATATATTGCTACTTGATAGGACCATTAATTGATGGATTAACTGGCGGATTTTATGCATTGTCTGAAGCAAGTTACGCATACGCAACTGATTGTACTCATCCAACAAGAAGGTAAACACGCACGTTATTCATTATGTCATCAAATTATTTTTCTTAATTTTCCTAATAAATTTGATTTTCAATAGGAGCGTGGTATTTGGATGGGTACAAGGAGCAATGTTCGCAGGATTCGCAGTAGGACCAATAATAGGAGCATGGCTAGTAAAAGTAACAGATAATTTACTCTCAGTAAATTATGTTATACTTGTAGTTTATATTATGTTATTTTTATTTTATATTTTTATATTACCTGAATCTTTATCAAAAGAAAAATTAGCATCAAATTTAAAACGTCAACAAGAAATAAGATCAAGACAAAAATCATGGATCCATTCTTTTCTTTACAGAATACTCGGAGCATTGTTAGTATTCCGTCCCCCGCAACAACAAAATGATGATGATAAAATTCCTATTACTTTTGCAACCAAATATTCATCATTAATGTTGGCAGCTTGTTATACTTTATTATCAGCTTCTATAATGGCTTTTACAGGTGTATTCGTATTATATACATCATTAGTATTTAAATGGTCATTATTACAACAAGGGTATTTCGTATTTATGATGGGTGCAACAAAAGTGGTTGTTTTATTTATTATATACCCTGCAATAGTAAAATTCAAAAAACCAATTCTTGCATTATTTACAAAATTCGAAAAACTAATTATAAAAGGTAGAAATAATAATAGGCAGAATGATAACGGTGACAATAATTTTATTACAGAAACGGAAGAGAAAAGAGGAGAAAGAATTGTTGTTAATGATGAGAATATTAACGATAACAATGTTAATGATAGCAATGAATGTAAGGATGACGATGATGAACAAATGAAAAAAGAATTAATTTTCGAAGTCTGGGTTATTAGAATAATATTTTTAATTGACACATTGGCTCATATTATGTATGGTTTTGCAACAACTGGTTCAGTATTCACCGGAGGTAATTAAAACAATTATGTATTATTTTGTTTAACTCTTAGATAATTTAATCCTAATTTATTATCTTTTAAATTATTTTAATACAGCAACTGTAATAGCAGCATTAGGTATAATAACCACACCAGCAATAAAATCATTACAGACAAATTTAATTCCTCCGTCTCAAATAGGTCGATTATTAGGTGCAATAAGTGTAATAGATTCAATCCTTCGTATAGTTGTTCCTCCTATATTTGATGGATTATATTCTATATTCGTTAAGACTTCCCCACATTTAATTTGGTATTGTATGTCTGTTTTATTAATTTTAGCTTTTCTATTTGCTTTTGGAATAGGTCCTAAAAAACAATAATTGAGAAATAGTTATATTTTATTAAATTATTCATGTTCAATAACTTACTATTATGTTTATGACAAATTAACATATAAATACTGATTAATAAAGAAATGTGTCTTTGATATTTTATTATATTTTATTTTATGTAAATAATGAAAACGACCCTCAAGATTAATCATAATGTAAGTAAAAATGTCAAAATAAAAATGTCAAATAACGAGTTAAATTAATGAAATTCTAAGAGATGAAAGATAACGGCAATTGAAAAATATACAATTACGATACAGTTGAAGTGATGATTCAGATAATTTGTGTATGCAATTTCATAGACTTAAATGATTTTTCATAATAATAATTCATATATCCAAATATATTTTTAAATGGTCTTGATGTAATAAAAGACATTACAGCTCCTAGAAAAGCTAAATATTTAAGTATAAAAAGTATCGATTCCATTTTATCTTAAATTTAAGTTTCTAAAATTCCAAAATTCAAAATGTCAACTAGCACTTCAAGTACGCAAAAGAAGAAGTTTGAAGAGATCAATGTCACAGTGCATGAGTGTTTCGTTGAGTTGTTGGATATGTTATCAGGGTGCTTGCACCGGGTCACATATTACATTGGTATTTCATAGATGCATTCCGTGGCTCCAGATATTTATCTGCATTAAGAAGCAGAGGTTATGTACCTTACTCTCATGTTTTCATGAAATATTGGGAGAAACTACTCTTATCTGGTGGTTTCACGGCAAAATATGATATGGCTATACTTGTTACTTCAGATAAAGTTCGCGGTTTAACGACCGTATTGAGTCTGGTGTTACCTGTATATATAGGTCATACTATGTTTTGTGATGGCGTGCGGTCGAACCGGGTTATCGTGTATGTTATGCTGTCCTATAGATGTGTGCATTCTGTATGGCAACAAAGATGATACAATTCACTCATTCATTTTATTTATTTCAGAACGAGTTACAAGACTAGTAAGGGTAATATCCTAACGGGGATGGCGGAACTTAGCAGATCGTGAAAATAAGTCTAATAGTACCATAGTATTATTATTAAATCAATTTCTCAACTTTATTTTTTACAATGCTGAAATACGATTTATAAAAATAGCGTGAAAAAAATCTATTGCTATCATTTTTTATAAATAAATCAAAATTTAAGCGTAAATCCATATTAATATTTACTAAAATCTAGAGACTACAAATATTAATCACAATGAACAAGATTATGTTATTTTCTCCAAAGACGATAAATGCCTTATTTATGTGTTGATTACGATTTTTTATAATGTTGATTTTTTTTGTTGATGAAATTCTATGAGGAATTTGATAAGATGATTAGTGATAGTTCGAGTTTTATGCGGAAAATTGTAACTAGGGTGTCTAGTAGAGTTAATTTGAAGGATGTGGTTTGTTATGGTATTTTTGATAGCTACGATATCTTGTTTTGTAGATTGATGGTTTTGTTTTATGTTAATTCATTATTTATGAATTTCAGATTGTTTTAGATTCTTCATTGTCTTTTTTCAGAACCTTGAGGTCAGCTATTTCTTTATTCATATAAGCAAATATATTATCGCTATAGATGGTATGGTCTGGAGCAGTTTGATGGATTTGTTTAAATGAGCTGTTTCTATTTGTGGCATTTCGGTTAATATTTGTTGACTTTATAGAATGTACGGTTGGAAATTATCCTATTCGAATTGATAATGTTTGTGCTAACTTTCTTGAAGAATGGTTTGGAGGTCACGTTTATTTGTATATTTGGTGATTTCGATATGAAATCGTTCGTTTATTTTGAATGTTTCTGATTTCGATTGAGATGGTAATATTCTAATAAACTCCATTTGATGTGCTGAAAATACGTTGAAGAATGCACTTGATCGTTATTTTGAATGGGTTCTATTGATAATGACGTAACTTGCTATTTTATCATAAAACTGGATCAAATTATCAATTGATTATTATTAGGGATTCTGATTGTACGATCATTTTTTTCTTGTAATTCTTGTTTGATGATTTTAGTAAACGTAAATGTAAAATTTGCTTTTAGTCGACGTCACCTTGAAGTTTTTCTGCGTTTCGTTGTAGAACGCGAATTTGAGTATTTTTCTTCTAATCAAGTTGAACGAAATCGGTTACTTAGTCTTGATTAAAATAATTAATGTCTTTATAATTCACAATTTTATCGTTTTTTATCGATATAGTAGTCTCTTATCTTTCAATTCAATTTCTATAGAAAAGCGCTCTATATTTAATAATATGGAATCACTCAGAATTTGAATTTGAAAATTCTATTGTGAAAACGATTTTTTAAACCATCATATAAAAAAAAAAATCGATCAGATAATCCGATCATATGCTTTTTCTTCTCACGTGATATTAACTAGTTCTTTAAAAATTTTTTTTTTTTTTAAAAAAAAAGTATTAGTATAGGGGACTGAAAAAAAAAGAAATCTGCTGGCATTAAGTATTTGATTACCATGAGAGCTATCAATTTCTCCTTGAGACAATTGTGAAATGAGAGTTTTTCCTTCTGCTAGAATTAAATAAATCAGTAATTTTGTTTTCTCGTGAATTGTTTCCTTAAGTTTTCTTTCAAAGCATCTGAGGCTTGAAAGTCCCAAGAGAAGCCACCACAGGATGGGATCACGAAACTCAAATATTTTCAGGAACTTTTGTGTTTTTAGGATGCGGAAAAAAGAGATCAGACTTAAACGATATTTTGTTACTGCAAATTTTTTGATCGAGAGGTAAATTATTGGGAGACACTTACCAGCGGTGACAGGGACAAATTATGCGAAAAAAAAAAAAAAAATCAATTACCAGCGCAAATTTCGGTCGTGACTACTCGTAAACCTGATTGTGTCAAAAACGTTGTGGCGAAGAAATTATTATTGGCTGACGAAAAAATGACATGAATATAATTTGTCTGTGGTTACACAAATTCACAAGGAAATATCCATTTTTTTCGTTCAAAAATTGAGCATCACGGAAGGTGGACAACATAAACTTTCAAAACTTTCAACCGTTTCGGACAAATGAAACCGGATCATATAGTTAATATCCTCATAATCGAGTTTATTCGTATGAATATCATGTTCCCTTTATGCGTATTTCGAAATTAATCATGTTATTGTGACACAAAATAAAACCACATTTCAAGATAATGATTTAAAGATTTTACAAGAATTCAATTGTTAATTTATTAAACAATTTAAATGAAATCTCGAAATTATACATATTAATACAGAAAAAAAAGATGGAAAGAATTCACAAAAAAAATATCTTAAGAATGTAAAAAATAAATCTAATCTAAGGAAAAAAAAACTATTTTTATGTACAAGATTTTTAATAAAATAATTATTTACATTCTAAAAGATCAAGGAAAAACTATTTACAAAAATTGATGATTTATCTAATAACCACCACTACTTGATTTATGAACTGATTTAACTGTTTTAATTTGTACTGTTTTAACGTGTACTATTTTAGGAGCAGATTGAATTGTTTTATGGATAGTGACCTTTTTTACGGTTTTAATTTTTATGACTTTAGCCGTCGTACCAGTCTTAGCATAATGAACTTTAGCTACTGTAGCTACTTTAGCAGATACTTTAGCTTCTGTAGCTACTTTAGCTTTAGCAGCTACTTTAGCTACTGTAGCTACTTTAGCTTTAGCTGTTGGAGTTGGAGCTTTAGGAGGGGCCTTGCTGATCTTAGCGATGGCAACAGGAACTTTAGGAGGAGGTGTCGGTGCCGTTTTAATTTTAGCTGGTGGTGGTGGTGTGGGGGTAGGTTTTTTACAAGCATTAGTTATGGTGTAGAAGGTAGTTGAAGTTTTAACTGTAGCAGATGTAGTAGTAACTTTCTTTGAAATAAAAAAAAAAGAGAAAGAAAATGAATAATCATCAATTAAACAAAAAAAAAAAAATATTTTTAATAATTATTACCCTTGTGATAGTTGTAGTAGTTCTTGGACGATGGGTTATAGTTTTTATCTCAGTAATAGTACTGACGCAATGAGGATGAGCAAATATAGCTATGTTGAAGAAGAGAGCAATAATATAGGTGCTAAGGAAACAAATATAAACGAACTTCATTTTGAAAAAAAAAAAAATAATCCACTATTAAAGGAAGATATTTTTTTATTATTATTTCTTCAGTGAAGTGAAGATTTAACTAGGAAGGAAGACCGTGTTTATATAGCTTTTTTTATATAATATGGTTCATTCAAGATTTACTTCAAATCAAAAAAGAAAACTTTTTTTTTTTTTTAATTCAAAGCCTCTTTTCTTTGTGAAAAAATTATCAATTATTCTCAACGAGAATTATTTACTTTTTGAAAACTTTGTCCTCGTTCAATTCGTAAAGGAAACATATTGGATATTCGAAACGCCTATGTTCAATTATTTCGTGTCGATTTAAACATCAAAAACGTTTAATTTTTTATCAAAGCCATTTAAGCCTATAAGAAGGCTTGCTGATGGCTTACTTAATTCAGCCGAGTATTGCCTAGATTAACAAGATCGACTATAGGCTGAAAAATAAATTGGCCACGATTCGTTAGATTACATTACTACCCTAATCGTGGCTTAACTGGCTTGCAACTCATTTTACTTTGCCAAAAGCCACATCTAATATAAAAGTTGAATAATTATTAAATGGCCAATTACAATTATGTTATCGGACATCAAATTTCGACAAAGCCCATTTGAATATTAATTACGTGTAATTTTAACGAATTAACCACGTTCAATATTTTATTCTGAAATATATTTTGTAATTTTTTTAAAAATACATAATTTAAAATCAATTGCGTGGCATCAATTTTTATAATAATTAAATGTGGCTAGGTATTATCAAACTTGAAAAAAAACATTGATGTCATTCATAACTTGATTAGCAAGGACGATTTCTGATTTTATAACATTTCAAATAAAAAAAGGGGGATTTTTTTTTGCGTTCACATAATAAACCATAAATTTAGTAGTGATTGGTTATTCTTTTCAAGGCATTTTAGGAAGTTTTTTTCAACGATTGCCGACGTTTGATTATAGTATGGACGATGACTTTCATACCAATTTCTAAAAAATTAAATAAGTCATTTTTATTCCCGTCTTTATCTTGTTCATTTCTAAGTGGTGAGTCAAAAATATGATAACTCACAACCTGGATCAAAAAGCTCAATATTCAATTATTAAAATTTCTTTTATTAGTAGCATTTCTTATTATTGTAAATTTTCAATATACGAATGATATATTTCTCGTTTAAACATCATTTAGCAGGTTGTTATCTCGATTGTTGCAAGGCGCGACAATTTGTCATATATGGAACATAAATATTATACATAAAGCGATAAAGGTATATAAGAACCCGAAATCGATTAAGAAATTGTTAAATATTGTATGATAGAACAATAGACGAGAAGAGTTTAATATAAATGGGTTTAAATTTTATACGTAGGTGCGTAGCAACGCACCCCCCTATACAGTATTATGTTATATGTAAAAGTCCAACTAAATTTGTCATTAATATTGTTCAGTTAACCATATATAATGTAATTTTATATACTGTGGTTTTGAAATGGTAGTAATTCTTGGATCAGATAAGTTTATGAATTTCTTTCCTAGTACAAATTATTCGGCCAATTTCCGTTAAATTATCCGACTGTGGATTTATATTGAAAGTACAATTATATACCGTTGTTATTTATTCATTTTGTCTAAAAAATACATCGTAAGTAGAAATGGTAAAGATTAAATTTAGCTGATGACATTTCTTGGAAGATGATTTATCTTAATAAACTTATAAAGTCACAAAGTAACTTTACCCTTCATTTCTAGAATTTACAAAAAAGATTATTTAAAAGAAGATTGTTAGTTCAATTTTAAACAATTTAGAATAGTGTGAATCATTCCACTTCTAAGTTCTAACAGTATTGACAAGTGGCGGCCTTTGGTCGAAAGCAAAATACGGATCCTATCTAATTTTTTCTTTTTTTTTAGGGTTGTTTTTTCATTTTTTAGCCCGTTAATTTTCTCAGTAGCGTAGTCTTACTGCTAAAATAGTTCCATCGAAGGGTGAGGTCCTGCGCTGGGATGAATATCGAGAATCTTTGTCTTTTTTTGTACATACGATTGATCTCGATAACCACTCTTTAAGAAATAAAATAAATAAATTCATCTTCCTGAACTGATAATTTAAATAAAGCGAAAAGTCACTTAATATATTTAATATGACACTTTTTTTATGCTTAGGTAAATAAACGGGGCCACTGAAATCGCATTCAATTAAAAATAATTGTCTTTTCTTAAAGCATATTTTTGCGCCAATTGCTTTTTTTGTGGAAAATAATGAAATTTTTTTCTAAAATAATTGCCTTTCTTAATGAATATTTTTGCGCCAATTGCTTTTTTTGTGGAAAATAATGAAATTTTTTTCTAAAATAATTGCCTTTCTTAATGCATATTTTGCATCAAATTGCTTTTTTTGTGGAAAATAATGAAATTTTTTTCTATAATAAATTGCCTTTCTTAATGTATATTTTGCATCAAATTGCTTTTTTTGTGGAAAATAATGAAATTTTTTTCTATAATAAATTGCCTTTCTTAATGTATATTTTGGCATCAAATTGCTTTTTTTGTGGAAAATAATGAAATTTTTTTCTATAATAAATTGCCTTTTCTTAATGAAATTTTTTTCTATAATAAATTGCCTTCTTAATGCATATTTTGCATCAAATTGCTTTTTTTGTGGAAGATAATGAAACTTTTTCTTTTTATAACAAAAATTAAATTTATTCTTCTCTTTTTCTAAAATAAAAAAATTTTTTTTTTATTTTTTTTTTTAAATTGTAATTTTAGAATTCTGGTTACGCTTACGAGTTTAGAAAAAAAATTTATCGATATGACTGAGGACAAAGAAAATAAGACCAAAGAGGACAAAAATAATAAGACTGAGGATAAAACCAAAGAAGTTTATGGTTATAAAAAAGAAGATAGAAAAAAACTTTTTGTTCTTCTGAGTATGAAGGAAGAATGGAACAAAGCAGAAACAAATTTAGCAAGACGGACGAATTTAATGATAACACATCTTTCGATCGCCATTATCACTATATTTATTGGAGTATGTTTATTTCTTCTCGCAAAATATAATAACACTAACAAGATTTTGAAAATTACGTTGCCAAGCTTAACAGGTATCAGTGGAGTTCTGGTACTCGTAAGGTCCTTTATGGAGAAATTCAAATTAAGTAAAAATAACTCTACAAATTTGTTACAAATAATAATTGATAAAACCGATGAAACTATACCCACATTGATGAAGATACCTAAAGATGAATTTAAGGAATTACCTATTGAAAGACACAAAAACTATGAAAGCTTTTTAAGACGTATCAATTATCTTATTTATCTAGAAAAGAAATTTGGTATAGGTTTCTCTATTCTAATGTCTTTGTATGTCATCATTTTGGCGATCATCTCAATTTTATTAAGCACAAATTTGATCGATTCTTCTTGGCGATATGCTGATTATTTTTTGGCTATAAACATAATTGCGATTGGGATAGTCTGGGTCATCAATATAGTCTTATCTTATTGTGTAAAACTCTATGAAAAAATTATTAATCTTAATAATATTCCTATTAAATTTATATCGATTCCTATTTTAATTCTTTTCATTCCATTAGCAATTTATTATAGGCTATTGAAGAGAACTTATTTAATAGAAAAGGATGATTATGAAACTTATTTTGGAAAATATAATACAGAAAATGATGACGTGACATTTTTTGGAACGGAAGTTGAAGCAAAGCTCGTTTTGAATCTAGTTCTGAAACTTCTGAAATATGAAGAAACCGATGATGAAATCAAGAAATATTTAATAAAAGATTTACAAAATAAAGTTACCCGAACTTGTTCTTGTAAAGAGATTGAGATTAAAGATGATGAATATTTATGTAGGAAGATTAAAAAATATTTAATGAAAAATAAAATGAATGATGAAGAAAATATAAAAATTTCCGCGATACTTGCTGGAAGACTTATTGAATTAATTGAAAAATTAGAAACAAGAAATGGCAAAAATCATGAAGATATCAATATAGATGAATTAATCAACAAGATTTCCGGAAAATTAAAAACAAATGAAAAAAGTAGTAATGGAAATGGCAAAAATCATGGTGATAAAGAAATAAGTGGTGGTGCATTAATCGAAGATTGGGAAAAGGTACCAACTGATGATAAGATTTTAAAATATTTTGTTGAAAATACCGAGAACGAAACATTAATGAAAGCTTATTTAATGGCTTTAAAATTTAAAAATCCTAAATATAGCAACGATAAAGATGTGAAAGATTATAAAAAATATCATACACAAAACGATGACGAGATAATAAAACTTGCTATGAAAATTATTAAGAAGAAAATTTATAGAAGATATTTAAGAAATGATATGAAATATTTTAATTTCAAAAAAATATATAGATATACAGCTAATGATGACTTTAAATACTTTAATAGGGAAGACTTTATGAATCGGATTATAAAATTTTTATTTTTAAATAATAAAATTATTTTAAAATTAGAGCCTATAGAATTAACTAGAAAGCATAAGTATGAAATCAAACGTCTTTTAAGTGGGCTAGATTTAGATGATGATAGTAGTGAAAGTGCTGACAAATAGACAGAATGAAAAGTTTAGAGCTTTTATTATAACTATATTTTATTCATACCTTATTTTTTAAATTTCATTTTATCATTATAGTTATATTTTATTTCAAATTTATCACACGAATAACAATTATTAAATAAATCCATCATATTCTTATTATTAAAGTTAACTGAAAGCAACAGGAACATTATAGCGAATTCCCCGGCATGACGAATTGTGACAGGAACAATTATTTGCAAACTCCTGTTCCGCAATATATAAAGTTCAAAGAATTATTAATTATTTTCAATAGAGAATATTTGTAGCGCAGTATCGTGTCAATTTCGCAGTCACGTGATTACGATTTTATTTTTCACATATCTAACGGACTTTTTTTACTCAAGATTGTACTGAATGAAGAAGATACTGATTTAAATTTGATAAATTCATCGTATACAGATTCATTTTCACTAGTTGCATTATTAATAAACCAATCACTTTCCTTTTTTGACCCTTCTTGTACTGTGTTATAAGTTGTAGCACGCGTCTTGGCTTATTGTAAGCGTCCCAAAATTTTAATAATATTAAAACATATTAATATTTCAATTTTAGAAAAATTAATCAGAATTCTTCCTGAAACAATAGGACCCCACTTACTTATAAGATAGGTTACCCCCAGGCCTAAGATAAAAATCATATAGATCGATTTCAAATACATATTTCAGCGGGATCGATATCAAACTAACTCACCTCTTGACTCAATATCGAAGTAAGCAAATCAACAGATTCATCGTTAAAGTTTTTAGTACAGTTGTTAAATCATATTACACAAGATTATGCCAATCAAAATTTAAGCGTCACACTAGATTACGTTTTGTGCTTTTTTTGTAATATTTACTATATCTTACTAAGGTGAAAAAAAACAGAAAAAACAGCAAAAAAAAAACATATGGATAAGAGAAATCTGTCACAAAATTATTGACAAAAATATCCATGTATTGAAAAAGATGATTTCAAACTTATCAAAGTTTAAAGTTTCTTGATTTAATAAAAGATATGAAGATTGGGTTTATTATTTCAAATTATTGTACGAAAAGTTATTTCAGTAGAATAATAAATATAACAAGATTATGAAGAGTCCTACGCAAAAAGTGTATATTTAATAGATAAAAAAATGGAAGTACACAGAGTTTTTTAAACTCTTGTGACCAGTGATAATTATTTGAACTATTGGACTATTGGATATTGTCCAATCCAAGTCCAAATTTTTGATTGGACATATAGATTATATCCAATTACAACAAAATTTTATTTTTTAATTGACTTACAAAAAGAGAATAATTATTAGAAATTATCATATTGAAATTTACTATTTAAATAATCAAGTATTTTCCCGAAAAAAAAATCCGAATTTTTCGGAATTCTACACTTCCGAAGATAAAAAAAATTCGCCACTGAGAATTACCCTTTTAGGCTGATCTGTGGCTTGTGCTTAAACCATAATCGTGTATTTTTCAGAAAGAATATTCCGAATTCTTACACTTCAAAAATTTACCCCTTTTTAACTATAACATGTTAGACCTAAAAATTTTTATCAAATATTTCATAAAAAATACTGTATATTATATAATAACGAGAAAGACGCAGATCACTGTCAGTTATTTTATAAGAATCTGATATTATATGTAATAAGAAAACGATTAAAAAAAAATAATTTTTTTTTCAATTGAATTTTTTTTGTTACACTATTATTAATGCAAGTAATTTGATAATTTAATCACTCAAAAGATAGATCGTGAGAAAAGATAATGATATTTTAGGAATTTTAGGGAGATATGACGAAAATGAAATGACAAATTAACTTTTTTAATATTTTGAAGCATGTTAAAATAACAAATTTAACGATTTTATCCATTGTTTACAAATCAAATAAAGCTTAATTATACTACTGTAAAATATTCGGGAAAAATATATTAATAAATAAATCCTGACTTTCGTGAGAATTATTTGAGACGAAAAAATTAAATAAACAAATTTCAGATATTCTCTTAGAATACTGTATATCATTTAAAATGAATTCTTCTACTGCCGCAGATATTTTATATTCCATCTTTGATTTTCTCAGTAAAGATAATATAATGCTCAGTGAAGTAATTAATTATGGTGTTCAGTTTGATACTACTAGTATATTGCCCAATATAAATAATAATTTTATTAACGAAAAATGGAATGAAGACAATCAAGACCATGAAGCAATGAAATTGCTTCCAGAAAGATATGAAGATTATATCTGTATAAAATCGTCACCAGATGGAAATTGTTTTTTCAACAGCGCATCTTTAATTGTATTTGGGAATGAAAATTTTAATCTTCAATTACGATTAGCCACAATAATTGAATTGATGACGCATGCACTATTTTATTTGCAGCAATCAATTTTTGAACAGGATATTATCTATTGAAATGAGGTTTTTGATAACGAAAATATAATTATAAATGATTGTGGTTTTAAAAAAGAAAGTGAATATATTTCAGAATTGAAATTAATGTGCAAGCCACACTCTTGGAATTCTATGATGGCATTTTTTGGATTAGCGTCAGTATTATATAAATGTAGCTGGCATATCGTGTATCCTTATACCCATTTTATTGATTACAGAGACCTTAGGGGTTTTGTAGAAAAAGTCGCTGATAGGGTTGGGAAGCCATACTCAGAGTTTATTGATGTTGGACTCTATAAATCTCACTTTAGTCACCGCCTCCTTGGATCAGCAAAAGAGGATAGAGTTAAAAGACCTGTATTATCTTCAGTTAAACAAGGATATTGCAAGCTAGAAAATTATTTAGTTCAGCCTAAATCCAATTATTCTGAAATCTGGCCCCGAACCTTTTCTTCTGAAAAGCCAGAAAAGGATGAATTCCAACCTATCAAAAATGAAACTGCTTTGAGCAAAGGAGCTAGTCAAGTTACGGCAAAATTTGGATGGCTTGAGATCGGTAGCATTAAAAAGGGATTTATCAACTTTCAAGCGAAGTCATATGAAGCGTGTCCTATTTGCGATATCTGTCACGAAAGAGATCAGTTATATGGCTTTCTTCTGAGAGATGGATGCTTTATACTCAAATGCTATTGGCAAAAACAATATAAACCTGATCATAGAGGATTGGTATTTAAGGGAGCATCAGATATAATCAAGCCGAAAGAAAGACCTAAACAAAAGATTGTTGATAGAATGGCCAATGCCATATCAAATCCATACCCACTTTCTGAACTATCTGGAGGAGTTATTAATGTAAAGGAGATGGAAGATTTCCCAGAAGCTTATCCCGATTTCTTGAATGAAGTGCCTAGTACAACTCTGATTCGTTCCCCTATAATAACAGGAAAAACAAAAGGTTTAAGAAAACATCTCCATTCCTTAGCCAGGAGTAAAGCTAATTTGCCCTGCATTCTCTGGATTTCTTACCGAAAAACTCTTAGTAATGAATCACTGGGTAAAATTAATGATCTTAAATTAGCTGAGCTCAGAATCTGTAATTATCAAGACGAATGGAATTTATCTGTAGATAAGTGGGATATTATTATAGTCCAGGTTGAGTCTTTCTCGTATAGAGTTTTTAGCCCGTCCGATTGTAGCTATTTTAGATGAAGCTAATGCAATTCATCGCCAAATGAGTAGTGGTGTAAATGCACGAGAATCTGAGAGTGTGATGCATGACGTACTAAAAACGGCCCAGCATATACTCGCAATGGATGCCTTTGCAAACGAGTCGACCCTAAACTTCCTCAAAGCCTATCGTGAAGATGATATTTGGTGATCAATAACAAGTTCCAGCCTCTTGTAAGTAAAACTGTAGAGTATCACTGGTCGAAATAGTCCAAATCAGCTAGAAATCGGATGTCCGATTTTAGGTTGAATTTGGTGATAAAGATGGCCAAATTATCAACCCAAAAAAAGTTCCGATTGGCAGGCCGATCAATGCTGATCAGAATGTCCGAATTGAATCTATTTTTTATTCTGAATTGTTTAGTAATTTTAATCTGAATTGTTTAACTAATTGTGATGAATTTTGTCTAAATTATGGCAAATTTTAGATAATTTTTTCTGAATTGTTTTAACTAATTGTGAAGAATTTTGTCTGAATTATGGCAAATTTTAGATAATTTTTTCTGAATTTAATCTGAATTGTTTAACCAATTGTGATGAATTTTATCTGAATTACGGCAAATTTTAAATGATTTTTTTCGAATTTTGTCTGAATTTTGTCTAAATTTTAGATTGAATGTGGATGATTTTTCCAAATTTAGTTTTAATTTAATTCAATTTTATTAGACATTTTAAATTACATTGTTATTAAAAATTACATTTAATATATATTCTTTAATTAATGTCTACCTTAGGACCCAGAAATATATATACAGGGGTAGGGTACACAGATGCGTCGCCATCATAGTGGAATTAGACGGAGTAAAGTTTTGATTTGAGTACAATTTTAGAATTTTTCATCTATAGTTAGGTCATCAAGATTGCGTATTTTTTATCAAAATTTTTATATGTAAAAAATTAGTTTGCGTATTTTTGGCCTAAATTTGACTAATCTTATATATATAATATATTTACTGTATGTACTAACCACATTGTAATATTTAGTATTAATTGAAAGAAATTTCTAAGGGTTAAAAAGTGAAATTTTAGAAAAATATTATTAAAAAAATGGTAAATTCTATTTTTTCACATTAGTATTTAGTTTTTATAAATAATATAGAAGCCATGATAAAATAATTAATAACTTAATGTTTGAAATTTTATTTGCGTATTTTTGCAGGATTTTCAATATCAGGTGTCAATTATGCGTACTACTCATATTAAAAGTCTCTGCGTACAGCTCATAGTAAAAAAATTTTTCGCCACCTGACCCCTATATATATATTTCTGGGTCCTTCTACCTTTCTAATCTAAAACACACCTATGCTATATTAATACCTATAATAAATCATTCTAAATTCGCTATTTTTAACCTAAAGAATAAAAAACAAAAAGAATTAATAAAAAATTAAGCAAAAAACTCACCAACAATTGACATTTTGAAACTCACCTGCAAATTGTTTCAAATTCATCATTCTTATATATCCAACCGAAACTTGCGTCTAAAGAGTCAAAAAGTTACCTAAAAGAAAAAACAAAGCATTAGAAATTGTTTTGCTAAAGAAATAATCTAAATATCCCTTCTTACCAAAATCCACATCTGAAGATATTCAAAGAATTGGTAGCTATCTAAAAAGAATTCTAACCAAAAATCTATGTTTCGGATCGTGATACTTCATGTCTTCTAAAAAAAATGGAAGAAAATGAAACGTCAGTAAACGTTTCGTTAAAATAAATCAAAAAAAAAACTTCTATAACACCTATACCGAATCTTGCACATCCAAATATTCCAAAGAACTGGCCATATTTCCATTAATATTTCCATATGCTCTTATTAATAGACACGAAGGCTGGGCACCTAAAAAAAAAGAGTAAATGAAACGTTAGTAAAAAACGCTTCGTTAAATGAATTAATTGAAAGTAATAACTAGTAAATAACCTTCCTCATTAAGCTTTTGACGTGTCATCCAAATATCGAAGAACTGGCCACCTATAAATAAAAAATGAAACATTATTAGAAACGTTTCATTAGGAGAATTATTTATTCAAAGAAAAAAAAATGAGAAAAATGAACGTTATCTAACGTTCATTAAAAAAAAATTAAAATATTTCGAAGTTACCTTCAAAATAGAGTCCAAGACCTGCACTTTGGTGTTCTGGACCTACAAAAATTAAGAACAAATGTTAGTAACATTCGTTAGATAAACTAATGAAATCTTTCGAAGTTTTACCTTCGAAATGCCACGTTGAACTCATCCCGAAACCTAACCGAGGATACAAAAGGGAAAAAAAAGTTAATGGTTTTTTTTTAAATTAAAGTTTCGAAAATTTGTTTTGAAACTTACCTGGAATTTGGTATCCACGTCAGAGCCGATTTCCCTGCAAAAAAAAACAAAAAAATGTTAAAAATTAACATTTTTTTTTAAAGTTTCAAATAAAATTTGAAACTTTACCTGCGAGATTCCGGTATCCAAATTGGAGCCAATTTCCCTGCAAAAAAATTAATAAAAATAATAAAAAACGCTAAGTTAAATGTTTTTTATTAATATTTTTCAAAAAGTTTTGAAAAATCAAAACTTTACCTGCGGGATTCCGGTATCCAAATTGGAGCTGATTTCCCTGCAAAAAATTTAATAAAATATAATAAAAAACGTTAAATTAAACATTTTTTATTAATATTTTTCAAAAAGTTTTGAAAAATCGAAACTCTACCTGTGGGATTCCGGTATCCACATTGGAGCCGATTTCCCTGCAAAAAAAAATAATAAAATATAATAAAAAATGTTAAATTAAACGTTTTTTATTAATTTTTGTCAAAAAGTTTCAAAAAATTGAAACTTTACGGTAACCCTACAATAATATTAAAAAAAAAACGTTAAACATTTTTTTCAAAGAAGTTTCGAAAATGCGAAACTTATCTGGAATATTGGCGTTCACATTAGAGCCGATTTCCTATACAAAAGTAAAAAAAAAAACATTTTTAATATTAAAAAACATTTTTTAAAGTTTTGAAACTTTTGTTTCGAAACTTACCTTTGGAAATCGGTATCCAAATAAGAGCTGATTTCCTATATAAAATATAAAAAAAAATGTTAGAAAACGTTTTTTTTTATAAAGTTTTGAATTTTTTTTTCAAAACTTACACAGGTCAAAAAGTGAAAAATCAGGCACCAATCGGTCACCAATCAGGTAGCTAATTGGTGCCTGATTGGTGACCGATTGGTGCCTGATTGGCAATTTCACCAAATATCATCACCAATCAGGTACCAATCGGTAGGGATGGGGAAGTTCCACAAATGAGCAGCTCGAGCACGGTTCCGAACTGAGAACTGAGCCAGAACCGAGAACTGGTTCCGGTTCTCTAGAACTGAACCGTTTGACTCGAGCAGTTCGGTTCGGTTTATAATTATATATAATATTATAATGGTCGTTTGTTGTTACGCCAATTGGCTGAAATCAAAAATGGATGATATTATTTTTCAGAAATACGTCATAATATAAATATTATATCATAATTACGTCATTGATTTTTTTTAATTTTTTTTTTCAGTTAAATAATAAAAAGACAAATAATATAACCATTTCAATTATTCGTCAAAGATCAAATATATTTTACGTCGGTTAGATGCTAAAAGGCAAAAGTTTTCTAATTCTTACGATTATTTTTTAAAACACCATACGAAAAAATTCACCAATAATCAAAGAACTGAAAAATGTTTGAATTAAACGGGAAAGTTACGATAATTATAAATATACAAAATAGGAAATTTTGATTGTTCCTTTAAGTTGAAATAATAATTAATCGGTTAAGAAACTTGTATTTGATCCCGTACACTATGAAATTAACATAATCGTCCCTATCAATATGATGATTTGCCTAAAAAAGAATCTGTAATAAATAAATACTGATAATCTAAAAAGATTACTTAAAAAAAATCCACTCTCATCTCGGAATGTCATTAAGTGACGAAGAATTTGTTCCCGACCAAGAAGATTTAGTGCTTGATGATGAAGAGTTTGATGAAGAGTGGGAAGATGTTTTAGACCTTGATGAGACAGCTAGCCAGTTGTCACATATGAATATAGGATCAGATACTGACGCTTCGGATATAACAACTACGTTAGGAAGTGCTGTATGGCAATACTTTGATAAAAATCCGTCATATGCTCCAGGCTATAATATTTGCAAAATATGTTCCAATAGATACAGAATAACAACGAGCATTAGTACTTTGCGAAAGCATCTTAATAAACATAGTTTAAGTGTACCTAAGAAAAAATACGTTGTAATTGAAAAAAGAGATCCTTTTGATGAAGAAGAACAACAAATTCACGATAAATACCTTACTGATTGGTTGATCTGTGACCTTCAGCCATTCACGGTTGTTGAAAACCATTATTTTAAAATGTTCATCAATTTTTTCTGCCCGCGATATATTATTCCTGATAGACATAAGGCAAAAGGTAATTTATTTTAAAAAACTTTTTAAAACTCACATAATAACATCTAATTTTCTTTCTATTTAAATAGACTTAATAATCGCTACATTTACAAACCGAAGAGACGCAGTTATCAACGAACTCCATAAAATCGAAGGAAAATTCGCGTTAACGGCAGATATGTGGACGTCTACCATAAATCGGGAGGCGTTTTTAGGACTCACTATACATTATGTGGATTCCAACTGGAAACTCCAGAATTTTCTTCTTGATATCGTCCCTTTTACAGTTAGCCATTCTGGAGCAAATATGGCAAGAGAAATAATGCGAACTTTGGAGGAGTTCAATATTTCCAATAAAATCGTCGCGCTCACAACAGATAATGAATCTGCTATGATAGTTTGCGGGAGAGAGATTGCTTTAGATATGGATGATGGGTTTTCATCCATGATTTTTTCTCACTACCGGTGCGCTGCACACGTCCTAAACTTAGGTGTGAAAGAGGGACTAAAACTAGTTAACGATTCCATTAAAAAGGCTCGTAAACTAATGAATAGCATTAAAAATTCGACCCGTCTATGTGATAATCTTCGCCTCTTGTGCAACTTAAAAGAAATTAAGTACCTTAAACCTATTATTGATGTAGAGACACGCTGGAACTCTACCTATTATATGTTGAGGCGTTTGGAGGTACTTGAACCAGCACTAGTTTTACTAGTAGCTGATAATCGA